AAAATTTAATGATTAACGAAAAAACTTCATAGATAAAAGAATAAATAATTCATTTACTATATTTGTTTAGAGAAAAATGGTAAAACAACTTACATTCTGTCTAATCACTCTGTATTCCTGGCTGATGAAATAATGACAACGCATTTATCACCTACTGATTTTTACACTAGGCGAATGTTCTGGACATTGGATGACGTTTCACTATTGATCTTTAGACTATTAGCGGAAAAACTGTCCACGTGATACGGAACGATAATAACATATTGATTTATAGGCTGCAACTAATTAAAAGTTGGTTCCTAAGGTATGGAAAAGGACAAACATTTTTTTTACCCATAATTAACCGCCTTGTTTTACAAACTTAGATTTCAATTTACCACATGAAGCACACACGGCTTTTATCATTAATCTTCCGTTTTTTGTTGTAACATATTGAGGATTTACATTATCAGTGTATGTTCGTTCTTTTAAACAATATATTTGTTTTTGTAAACTCATTTATATATTTAAATTATAAAAAAGTACAAGAGCCTTCGTCGGTTCCCGCCTTCGTCGGTTCCCTTACAAGAGCCTTTTAGGCTGTCTTACAGTATTCTATTTATGAGTAGTATATAATATGATGGTTCCGGGGGGGGTTTTGGCCTGAGGGTGTTCTTAAATCAATAAAATGGGGTTTATGTCGAGCTGTCTTACTTTTTGGGTTGATGGGTAAGCCATGTCGAGCTGTCTTACCCTTTGGTTTGATAGATAAACACTTTTTTAGGCTTCAAAGTGTCCCGGAACCATCATATTATATACTACTCATGATCAAAAATGTATTAAATGAAACATTAAGAGAAGCAAGAGATGTGTGTTTATACCATTTATAGACTTACTGTCTTATACTGTATAACAATCCAGTCACATAGAATCTTACTATTACTGCCACATACTTCACTCGTTTGTTTTACTGTGTTACCATGGTAACCTAAATTATAAAGTAAGACAAAATTCTAAATGATATTTGATATTGGTACACAATCTAGATATAGACAAAAAGACACACTATACTCAAATGCAATAGTAAATTAATTACATTTTTATATGCAGTAATTACAGGTTTGTATATTGTGCTATATTGAAATTAACCAAATTTTTTACCTACTTTACCAGTCATTTGCCCCTGAATGTGAAATTTTGAGTCTTTTAGGTCATTTACATAAGTAGATAATGCAAAACTGTTGGAAGCAACACCTCATTTTATTTCTGAATTTGTGTTTGTTACTGTCATGGTGCAAATACATGTGCAAAATTTGCTGAAATTCTATGAGACAAACTACTTTTTAGTTGCTTACGCAAAATAACAGACATATAACATGGATTTATTCCCCTATTTTGAGAAGAAAGTTTAGTATGTTTATTCATTGAAGAAAAGCAATACTTTCAGATAAAATTGTTTTAAACTTTGCATAATGACTAAAAATGAAATGATAAAAAAATGAAATAAAATAAGGTACTGGTGTCCTGGATTTTAAGTTATCTGCTCCTGGAAATGACTTATGAGTAAAGAGACAGAGGAGTGATGTCCCCCATTAACTTTCTGTGCTACAGGAAATGTCTTTAAGATATAATTTTGTTAAAATCTGTCACACTCAACATATATAAATATTTAAACTTAATGACGATACTTACCATAATGAGGCATTCCAATTTTCTGGTTAAGACATCTAACAGATACCTCAGGATTGTTAAATGTCACCGTGGTATAATCCTGGTCAGATAAACTATGATAACGCAGGTGTATTGGCAATATATAACTACTTGTCCAATTATCTCCATCATAACTCAAGTTAGTAAAAATACGACCTTCAAACTGAGTAGATTCAAACTCTGCCTTCTCTACATCAATCACTGTGTTCAACAAAACCTGTAGCAATTTACAACATATACACTAATTACCACTCATAATATACATGTAGAAATAACATCACAATAGTAAACTAAATGGTTTTTCTGTCTTTCACTTCATTTACAATAATCTAAATGTGCAAAGATAGGGTCAAATAATACACTCCTGTCATTAAGTTTTATTTTTCAATTAGTCAATCTAGCAATTATAATTCATGTTGCCTTCACTATGAAAAGGTGGACTACTCAAATACAAATCAAAATCTTTTATTGTAAATCTTAGAGATATAAAATCAGTATAGCACCTTACATGAAGAATTAACATAATAATGAATAAAAAAAGAATCTTACATCTGGGCCACCATAATTTTTGAGCGAGTTTATCTGATCAGAATCTATATAAGCTCCAGATGGAACAGTTTCTGTAAACAGCAGAAAACATTGTATATCACCTCCTTCAATCACATCAGGTAATAATTCTGTAGGAATTGTAAACTGTGTCACCAATTCTCTGAAAGGACATTAAAAATATGTTTCTGAAAATACAACATGATCATTATATCAAATTTAATATTCTGAAACTACTAGAAATAGGCAAGAAGCTCTTGAATGCATTTTAAGGTTAATGTATATTAATACATATGCACAATTGGATTAATTGATTATGTCAGAAAAACTCTTTGAGTTCAAGGTCACTGTGAATTTGACCTTTAACCTAAGTACCACAAAATCAATAGAAATTGTTTGCTTAAGAACTGTAGGCTAAAACATTCTCTAGTCATTGGTCAGACAAGATCTGACCTTTTGTCCCTTGTTGATCAGTCACTAAAATAATATGCCACAATAAGGTTGTTCAACCAATAACTCTTGTCTCTAGTCCTTAGATTTGGTGTAGAGCTTAATCATGAGAACATTACTCCTAGTGGCTATTGATATTTAGGTCAGTTGATTAAAGGTCAAGGTCACTGTGAAAGTTCATCATAAAATGTTTGTACAATCAGTAACTACTAGTCGGGGACCATCAACCAAACACTTGAACATTTTACCACACAGATTTCACAATTATAAAGGTAGATGCCTGGAAATATGCTGGAAATTTGACAAGGTAAAGGTAGGTTCTTCTTCAATCTAAAGATCTAGTTTGTTTATTTCCGATTAATATTTAGACACTTGTAATTGAGCCCTTGGTAGGGGGCATCAAAATTTTCTGAATTGTCCTAACTTCAGTACCATGTCCAGACAGATATGTATAACTTTATAATCTAATCAAGATAATGGTTTAAGTTTTTTTGGTTTTTTTTTAAACCTAAAATACCATATTTCAGCAGCATATGCTGAAATTTTGATCATTCTATTATTTGTTCTGAAAATGATTTAACTAGAGAGAGAGGGGGGGGGGGGGGTTGGTGTCCGGGTTTGATGGACGTCTGGTTGTGATGGTCTCCAAAAGTAAGGAAAGCAACTACCAACAGTCTAAACAGTTGTGATGACTTGTAGATAATCTCTTATGAGTTTGAGGTCAGTTGTTGAAAGGTCAAACACACAGATATATTGACCACAAAAAAACTTGTTTGACTAAAACCTGGAGAATGCTTTGGCAAACTGTCCTAAGATGTGGTGTGGCGGTTGATTATAAATAGTAGATGATCCAAAATGATTTTGAGGTAATTTGATCTTAAATAATGGAATGATGTCATGATCCCTAATCAGATGGTGATATTAGGTCAAAAGTCAAGGTCATTGTGATCTGGACCATACAGGCCAACAGTATTGAAATTTAGTTTGGAAGAAATGACAAGAACATGACTTTTAATGATTTTGATGTTTTTTGGTCATGAGCAGATGCATGGTCAATTAAGTTGATTAATTGCTGTTGTTATTGAGGTCAGTTGGTCAAGGTGAAACCTTGACCATAAAAGCTTGTCCAATTAATCATGGGGTAAGTTATAAATTCTACAGTCCTAAGAGCTATTCTGGAGGTTGATCATATCTAACAGAAGTTGTTAGAAATTATGTTGCTCAAAGGTCGAGGTCACACCATAACATAAATGACCACAGAAAATTTGTTCAAAAAGATTTGTCTTATAAATAATGTTGACTGTGATAATTTTTGTGTTGCCTCTACAAAGTAATGGCAACATATAGGGATCACTTCTATGCCATCCGTCTGTCTGTCCGTTGTCACAAAACATTGACGTACAACTCAAAAACTACTGGTGCATTTTATCCAAACTTTACAGGAATTATCAGTACCCTGTTAAGTTGTGCATATCATTTGGCGATTTTGACATGTCTACCTCCCCGCAAGTGACATGACATTAATGAAAGATAGATAGCATTTTCCGGTTCAATGATTTTTATCAGAGTTATGGCCCTTTTGAAAGTTTGTCTGGACTACTCCTCTTTTACTACATATGCAATTTCAATGAAACTTTATAGGATTGATCTGTGGCTCAAGTACATGCTCATTATGAACAAGTTTTCTGCTTTAACGATTTTTGGCCGAGTTATGGCCCTTGAATAAAGAAAGTGTGTATGTGTGTGTGCTTGCAAGCGTGTTCTTTTTTTGTGTAGACAGCTACACCGTAGCTAGCCCAACAAATTGTGCACTGTAGGGCTTTTTATTATTTAGACGATGGTCACTCTTCGCAGACATCTATGAAAAATCAAATAATAAAATCAGTCGGTCTTGCATGCAGTTAAAATATTGAGACTACACCGTAGCTTGTCTGAACTACTCCTGCAATTTCATCCAAACTTTGCAGAAATTATCAATACCAAGTCTAGTTGTGAATATCATCAGTATTTTCCGGTTCAATGATTTTTGTAAGAGTTATGGCCCTTTAATGATTATTATTCTGAAAGTTAGTCCAGACTATTCCCCTTATACCACTAAAATGAAACATGTGATCACTGATTACTCTTTTCATAAAATTAAGGGCCAAAGATATAATCCTCACTGAGTATGCTACAGTAATCTAACTTTAAATTTGGACTTAGAAGAAACTTTTCGTCCCAGCTGTACTGTAGATTCTAGACTACTGTAAACGATTTTATTTTTTCATTTCAAATACCTATGGGATCCTGATTTATCTATGCTCCTCAGTAAAAAAGGTTCAATCTTCTCTGACTGAGACTGAACCCACAAAAATAAAAGAAATATAAATGAACATTTGAACATTGCTGACGAGAACCTCAGTAAATTTCAACCAATCATCTTTTAAACAATATTCACTCCTAGTTTGATGGATAGTTAATGTAAACTTCCGGTTGTATATTTTTTTGCATTTTTTGCAAACAAATTAAACTAAGATCATTTCTATGTCAAATTTATAAATGTTAAAGAGGTCTTAGCCTTTACTCGAATAATTTTAATTTATTGTTAAGCTGGATTTGAAACACAAAAATGGGGAATCTCTTCGGAAAGAAAAGCGACAATAAACATGAAAAGAAAGAAACCAGAGTGACAGACCAAGACAAAGCAGTTTTAGTAAGTTTAAGAAAGTCACAGATTAAAATTCTTTGTGCCAGTCGATCAATGTGAAGAGAAATTCCAAATTGAAATATCGCGAAATTATATGATATTTGTAAGAAAATTCGTACTCAAAATTATCGTACGCAAATATTTTTTTCGTATTTAACAAAATACATAATAGAAAACACTAGTAGAAAGCAATGTAAACTGCCATATTTATCAAATGATTTTGATTTTAGAAAAAAGAATTAAAATTAATTTTTATCTGAACTCATACAATGCCTATAAAGCTCTGTATAGCACTTGCCTACAGTGTTCCGTTTGGGCAAGCGCATTTTCTCTGAGAACAAACGAAGCGAAACAAGATAGTACAATGGTGACAGAACAACAGTATGATGGTGACAGTATGATGGTGACAATACAACAGAACGATGGAGAAACTGGACAGTATGATGGTCTATTGTAGGCCTACATGTACCGTCATATTGTCACCATCACACTGTCATGTTTCACACTTTCTATTCCTAATGAAACACATTAGGTAAGTGCTATACAGCTAAAAGCATTGTATGAGCGTAGATAAATAAAAATTAATCTTAATGCTTTTTCTGAAATCAAACTTGTTATGGCAGCTACTATAATTTATAAAACGAAAGTGCTAAATGAAAATACTACTTTGTAAATTCCTTCCGAGAAAAGATGATTCATATGTAATATGAAAGAAAAAAAATCATTCTCCATTTGGACAGTAATACCAGAGCCTTTTTACTGCCATAAACAAGTTACCCTCTTGCAAAATATTCTGGTTTGTACTGGCAGCTGATTTAAGAACCTTATACTCTTTCATGGGTGAAAGCAGTAATTTTTTCTGTATAATTTTCACATGTAGATTAGTTAATAAATATTTGCAATGTGAATTGGAAACGGCATTGCTTCATCCTTCTTTCCTGCTTTAATAAATATATTTATATATTGAAGCCATCCAGCTAGCTTTAAACTAAAGTTGTCCTATCGGGGTGCAGGCAATGCTGCAACCATTTTTCTCTAGTAAAGCTGTAAATTTTACATAGTTGGATTGATCAGTTTATTTATAAAGATGGATTTTGTTTAAACTTTCCTTCCAACCTGTTATTTTCTTTGAAATTATGTGCAGCATTTTGTTCATGTTGCACTAAATATGCACTTAACCATGTTGGTGATGCAATGTCATTTTCATTCTTTGCTTGTTTGTTTTCATAGGAATTGAAACAACAGAGAGACAAGTTAAAGCAGCTGCAGAAGAAGATAACTCTGCAGATGGAAAAAGAAAGAGAAAAGGCAAGAGAGTTTTTAAAAGAGGGGAAAAAGGAGTAAGTTTAGCTTTGCAATATTACTAAAATTGCTACAGGGGCAGCTTTATATGTTACAAGTATCTTATTCTCTATTTATACTGCTTTGTGTTGATAAGCTTTAAATTAGTTTCATCCATATAATGTTTAAAGTGCAAGTAGTCAAATTAAATATCTGGTTACTTGAATGCCAGTTTGTGTGTGTATTTAAATACTTAATTAACTATTCTTGCATGAAAACTGCTCACGGATTAATAGAGAAGAAAACATGCATTAAATAACAGATATATTCTTGTGACCAAGCGCCATTGTTGCACAAATTTTTATATGCGTGACCAAGGGCACATTGTCAAAACAGCTTAATGCAATGAGGGCCTGGTATTTTTATTACCAAAACATAATTGTTAAAGGACATCACTCTAGCAAAGGAAAGCATGGCAAAATGGTTTCTTAAAGCAAAATACAGATAGCATAATGCAGATGTAAGGGGTAGCACTAATGCACATTTTTTTGTGAATAAACATCTGCTGAAGCCCTCAGAATTATTAATTTCTTGACCCTGCAGGCTCATGCCTTTAATATGTCCTCATGCTATTGCAAATTATAAGGTTATTGTCAAGTATTTTGATTAAATATATTTTCAGAAAAGCAAAGAGGTTACTTAGACATAAGAAATTTGGAGAAACACAGATAGAAAAGATGGATGGACAATTGGAAAATATAGATAGAATGGTTTGTGTCAATTTAGATTTTTACCACTTGTATGATGTTTTGCATCAAGTCATTTTGATGTATCTGTATTTATCTTAATTTTCATAACCTCTTTCAAAGAATTTTGGGAATATTGCTTTGCACAGGGCTGTTGGTCTGTAGACCCCACTTGTCTGACAAATAACTAGAGAACACTGACTCATCTCACCAGTAAGGGTGGAAGACAAAATATCTAGGTCAACTTGACCATTTAAACAGTCCCAATCTTAAAATTGTTCCATCCCGGGCTAGGTGCATGTTTTTGTGTATCCAATTCTTTACCTACATTGTTTCAAATAATTTATGTTGAGTAGTTAATAGTATCTTGTTTAAAAAAAAAGGAAGTAATACTGGTATATATATAATGTAACTGCTAGTCAGGGTATATCAACAAAATAAATTATAATCTTTTCAAAAATTTAACATGCCTGTTCTTCTACTCATCCAAGGATCAATGTCATTGTAACTTTAAGTTTACAGGTGCAATTTTTTGTACAACTGTAACCATTTAAGATATTTTCTTGTAATTTTTCAAATGGCTTTGAGGCCAAAGTTTACAGGTGCAATTTTTTGTACAACTGTAACCATTTAAGATATTTTCTTGTAATTTTTCAAATGGCTTTGAGGCCACATTCCAAGGGCCATAACTCTAGAATTAATTTTGACTCACTGAAATATGGCCCTTTGTATACTTAGAAAACTTCAGGTTTAAGTTTTGCATGCAACAATAGTCTTCAAAACTACTGAAGGAATTCACATGAAATTTATACAGTTGTTCTGCACACTATCCAAGACCTATTACTCCAATGAAAGGTTTATGTGCAAGGTCAGTCTTCAAACTTCATGTTTGTCTTTGGGATCATAATTGTAGGTTGAATTCCAAGATTCCTATCTGTGCCATGTTTCTAAAAAAAATTCTTTCTCTTTGTTAATTTCTACATTATACAGACTCTTGTTTTACTACGTATTAGGCACTTAGAATAGTCAAACATGCTGTCTTACTCACAGCAAGTTTTTTTAAAAAATATTTTCCAATATGATTTCATTAGTCAGAATTCTCATTTTTTTCAGTGCAATAAATTTTTAAGGAAACATTATGATTGGATTTGTTAATTGGCCTGAAAGGGCAGACATACCCTTATTAAGCTTAAAACACACACACGGATTTGTTACATACTATTGTACTAGTAACATCAAATATACATAGGTTTTTAATTTTTCACTAATATTGTAAAAGTTTGAATTATAATTTCAGGTTCATGATTTAGAGTTTGCCCAGATAGAAGCACAGGTGTTGAAAGGTTTACAAGCTGGTAATGAGTCTCTTAAACAACTTCATCAGGTAGGTACTGCTGGGTAGTATAATGATACTAGTATGTGTACTGTCTGTCATATCTCAAACATTGTAATATCCTGCACTGGCAATGTTCACTGTACACATATTTATTTATACTTACTTACTATTACTACTGATAAAGTTTAATCCATTACTTTTGGTAAATTTGATACTATTGGCAGCTAAAGATTGATATCATACACATCATACATTTATGTGTATCACTGTTCTGTGACATATCATAGTATTACAAGTTCATTAATTACTGAATCATACTGAGATAATGTGTCAGTCTATGTCACTCTCCTCATTTCACCTGTTCATACTTTTAAAAGATGTGGTAGAATTTTTACCTGGCTCTCAAAGATGCTTCATACTTAGGCATCCAAACAGATATAAATAATATTCTCTACATGTACATGAAATGTGTAAAGATAAGTTTTAAGTGCAAATTCTTGAGCTGAACATAATGTAGATAAACATAATGTAGCTGAACATAATGTAGATCTCTTTGTAAGAAGTGAAGTCTGCATCTGTGAAGACCACGTCTGATATTTGGTCTGACATGTCTATGTATTCCCACATGATCCCTGTGAGATATTATTATTTATGACTGTTATTTGATGTAATTACAGATGTTCTCTATAGAGACAGTTGAGAGGATTATGGATGAGACAAGAGAGGCACAAGAATATCAGCAGGTGAGTTAATATCTCAACACTCCCCCTCCCTCCCTGTAACATAATATATATCATATACAGTTGTTTAATGGCTTTTAACTGTTAATTTTTAAAAATAAACGCAGTTAAGTCAATTAAATACAGCAGGTTAGCACTGTAGGGATAACATTAGGTGATACAATATTTGAGAAATGAGTTAGATATCCAGGTGGGGTACATTTTTTTAACTTAAATAACAACAAAGTTGTCATGGTGAGATATGACTGAATGTTGGCTATCGCACACTCTGACTGTGCACAATACTCTATCAACTAAACTGTCAAGGACCAACCTCATTCTCTTGTAGAGTTAAATAGGCAACTTAATATGAAAATGGTGTATAATCACTATACAGTATAATTATTACATAACTAAAATTATCAAATTTAGGCAGAGGGACTGGAAATGTGATGCAAGTCATAACTTTGGATAAGTTGAAAAATTCTAGCAAAGGATGTTAGTGCTGGTACACAATCTAAGAAAAGTTGATTATGTATTGGTATAGGTTTGTGTGTCTGCATGAATTATACTATGACTGACAATTAAATCAAATTTCCTACTGCCACAAAAACAACTGTTTCATGCATGTAGTTTGTTCAGTTTTCATTTTCCACTGAAAACATGAGCTTATAAATAAGTACATTTATTATAAACCTTTAAATTATTATAACCCTGTACATATTTTGTGATACTAGTGTTGAGGATGCTGTATTTGCTGCACATATCACATGCACAAGCATGCTTACTTATCAATGCTATCTTATTATATGTATATTATTACAGGAGATAGATGATTTATTGTCTGGAGGTCTTACACAAGAAGATGAGGAGGATGTACTATCTGAGCTAGATGATATCATTAAGGTGGGTATAATTACTGCATTTGTTTTATACAAGGAAACAGCATCTTATAATATTACACTTTTTATACTAAAATTTAGGAGTTTACATTTGTGATTTTCATGCTTCCACCAGTATAATGTCCATTCATGGATATTAACTAACTTTGTGTAGCTGTGTGTTGGAATTTTATAAATCTTGCAAGTGTGTGTCTTGAAAAAGCGAAGTTGTACTTGATTTATTGTGATTTATATTATGTTGATTAATGACAAAGTTATTACCATTTCATCAATTGTTTTCTATGTCTGTATGCAGCTCATTTTTTCTGTTTTCTTTAAAATTTGTATTTTAGTGAAGAAGAAACAAAACAACAGCATATTCTTACAACTATTTTAGTTTTTGAAAAGCTGTTCCTCTGTTAAAAAAACTAAATCGTATGTTTGCATTTTTTAAATTTCAGTCATCATTGCCGGCTGTTGAGGATGAAGGGGTACCAGAGTTACCTGATGTTCCAGGCCAGGAACCATCAGGTACATTAATTTACACATATAGTATAACGAGCGTGTGCTATGATTATGTTAAAGCCTATAGTAGTTTTACTTCAAAATAACGTGACTTTATGGTTGTCAAATCAATCTTCAGGCATGATGTGACAGTGTGGTCCATAGCCTTTACAATCAATGTACAGAAACATTTTACCCTAATTCCATTTCTACAATTTATTTGTTTGTCTCAAGTGAGAGGTTTACAATTTCTAAAGGTTGCAGGTAATAATGTATGTAGACTGTAGTATTAAACATTAAAATAACAGGTCTTCCGTAACACACACATATTCTTGGAAACCCATTAATGAGTGTGGCAGTTTTTCAAGAGTTTGTTATAATATTGAAAGATTTAATCATTCTTACTATGGTTTGAAGCCACAATTTATTTTGAAACTGTGTATGGTTAAAATAAAAAACACTCATGGAAACTCCTGTATCATGTACATATAGTTTTACCCAATGTTATATCTGAGATTTATTAAAAAGAAACAAGATGAATACTAGAAGTATATTATCTTGTTTTTATACCTTAATTATTGACAATGATAAAATTGTATTTTTTTCTGTTTTACTTGTAGAAAAGACAAGAGCAAAGAAAGAAAAGAGAACACAAGAAGCAATGTTGGCATCATGATACTCCCAGTTATTGTTCTAACTACTGTAACCCAACGAATATTCGCGACCAATTAATATTCGCTTTATTCGCGGATGGCCACAAAGCGCGAATATTTGTTTGCGCGAATAAGTCCGCACGATTTCGCGAATAAATTGGAGAGAAATTTTTATTTTAGACGTTTTTCATGCAAAGCTACTTGACCGGATATATTCGAGTTTTACTGGCACCTGTTAGGAAGTAATGAATTGTTATGAATATTGCCATAAAGCAATAAAAACACAAACTAACTTAACTACTACTATTTTATAAATATAAAAAAAAACCTAAAAAACTCTATGTCAATATAGCAATCAAAATAAACATCCACATTTTAATACTATTAAATATAATAATAAATGTTTGAATAATCGTTTGACAAAAGTGGGAAAACTATCGAGCATCACAAAAGGCTATTGTTTTTTGATAAAATAATTGTTTGAGTGAATTGTTAAGACAAAGGTGGTGTAAACATATCGAGCATTACAAAATGGTATTGTGTGTACATAATTACAAACAGTGAAATACAAAATGGTTTCATACTAGTATCGATTTTTACCCGTCAAACAGCCTGTATAATAACATAATTTTCTCGGCGTGGGTTCGATCCCTGATTGGAGAAGGTGTTTTTTTTATGAAACGCTTAAATTGAATTTCTTAAAGACTTTTCTAGATAAAGTGTGTTTACAAAATATAAATATGTTATAGAAATAACGACATGTTTAGAAATGAAGACGAACGATGCGTACATGTACATATATAGAGAAAATGTTTTGCTGAATTGTGATCACAATTCACTTACCAATACAATATAAGGCTAGCGTATTGTTAATCCCATTTAAGACACCAATAATGACCTCAATTATTGAAGATTAATAGTCGGCTAATAGATTTTACGGCCCCATCGGACTTTCCAATCCGCGAATTTTTTTTTTCGGAAATCAAGAAAACGCGGAAATTAATATTCGCGAATATGTCCGACCTCGGCAAAACGCGAAAATTTGTATTCGCGAATATAAATTGGGTTACAGTATATATATTTTATGATAATTTATTTTAATCTTAACAGATCATGTGATAATATTTGGATTTGTATCTGATCCTGATATTCAACTGCCAACAAGTATAATTGTGTGGGAAGTATTTTCAACTGGCTGAAATTGAATCTTGTGTAAATTGTCACAAGTTATCATGCATAATGTTATCATTTTCATTCATTGTGTTTATCTGTAACTGTCCTGTACATGGTTATTGTATAAGTTTGTTCCTCCCTAATATCATGTATATTTGATTCATCCATTACATGTAGGTGTAGAAACTCATGTAGTTTTACTAGCATAACTTCATAGATAGATTTACATTTGTGTTAACTGTCACATGTTGTAATGCAAAGAAGTCATTTACATAAAATATTTACATGTTCATTGTACTGACGATTCTGATATTTTAAGGTATTTTATGAGCAAAACAAACAAAAACAAGCATGTTGAAATGGCAGACTTGTTTTTGATGAGGAAGTCATTTTTCACTATTGAATATAGAATAACCGAAAGTGTGTGTTATTATGCAATAAAGTCACAGTTGACGTTCTATATTTAGATATGTGACATAATCATTATACATTTGACATGACCACTAAAAAAATCTGACGTGCTAAAAATAAGTACGGAAACAAATCAGGCGCAATTTTGCTAAATATCAGGTACGGCAGCATTTATTTGTTGATGTCATGTTAGAATCAAAATAATATATCCAAATCGGTGATTTTATTGCTTGATAACATCACTGTTTGTCGTTAGGATGTGCATCATTATATCACTCGGGTTACGCCCTCGTGATATAATTCGTCGCTTCCCAACTCCAAACAGTGATGTTATTGAGCGATAAAATCACAGTTTGGGATATATTATTTCTTAATGAAAACATCCCCTAATAGTGGTTTAAGAATTCATTCTTCATAACTTCTTGAGAGGCATACAGTATGGGGTGACATTTTATAGCTGCCTATCCGCACAGAACACTTATTGATACTCATTAAGTACAAATCAGGGTTGAATCAATGACATCTTGTGTTTATATGTTAGTTATAACTTGATATCTTACATTCATTTTATATATATTGATTTACATCTACGCTATTTTGTTAAGTTTTTCTATGTATTGACACCATAAACAACAAAATTATATAATATGAATAACTGAATACTTATCTCTTGTCTATATTAACAATAAAACTATTGGATACATTATCCAATTGCTTGCATTAGCTTAATTTAATGTACATCTATTGTACACTTTGAATGCAAGATTAACAATTCTTGCACGAAACACTTAACATCATAAATTCCATGGTTTCCTTCAAGAAGAAATAAGTTTTATCAGAGCACTTTCAAAATCTCCTGAAAATTTTTATGGTTTCTTAATTCAACATTTTAAAGATTTTTAGTAATTTGTCCAATTAGATTTTATCTCCCAGCTTTAGTTTCTGCTTTTTGTGTTCTCAACATGTTGCCATGCACCATTAAAAACAAGCTTCTAACAAATAATCTTCACACACTACATTACTTATTCTTTGTATTTAACCAGGTTTTCTGAAGGAAAATACAGGTTATTATCCCCCGATGATGAAATTGGAATCCCATCATGGACTTCTTTCATGTGAGGAAGCTATCTAGCCAGCTTAAGGAAGGTATAATTTTGTTGTAAGGAGCCTGTACACATATATATATATACACAGACAGAAAAGTCACATTTATAAATTCACACACTACATTACTTATTCTTTGTATTTAACCAGGTTTTCTGAAGGAAAATACAGGTTATTATCCCCCGCTGATGAAATTGGGTAGATCCTAACGATAGAAATGGCCCTTTATCCCTATTCTGTCGCATGTCTGTCCATCCATCCGTCCGTCCGTATTTCGTTTCTGCGCTAGTTCTCTGCAACTACTGACGGGAATTCAATGAAACTTTATTGGAAAGGAGATGCACACATCATGGCCTTGTTCCAGTCAGACCTTTTAAGTTAGAGTCATGGCCCTTGATTAGTTATGCAGTATGCATATTGAGCAATAATCATTTCCCCTCTATTTCTCTGCAACTTCTGGCTGGAATTCAATGAAACTTTATGGGAATCTTCAATACCAAGAGGAGATGCGGATATCGTCGCCTTGTCCTGGTCAGACCCTTCAACACAGAGTTATGGCCCTTGATTAGTTATGCAGTATGCATATAAAGCAATAATTATACCCATGCTATTTCTCTGCAACTACTGGCTGGAATGCAACAAATATTTATGGGAACCATCAATACCAAGAGATGCTCATATCATTGCCTTGTTCTGGTCAAACCATTTAACTTATAGTTTGTTTGTTGATTGGGTTTTACGTCTCATTGACACAGTATAGGTCATATCGCAATGTTCCAGCTTTACTGGTGAAGGAAGACCTCAGCAGACATTTTCACAAAAAATCTTACGACAATTTTTTGTGGTAAGAGAAATCTTACGATAAATCTCCTTTTCACAAAAAATCTTAAGAAAATCTTAAGTGCAAAATCTGTCGTAACTTTACGATAGGTCTTCCCCGTTCGTAAGTGTAATTTTTTCTCTCTTAAGGGTAAAATATCATGTATCTCTTACCTAAACTGAAAGTTGGAGGACAACTAAATATTAAGCAAACAGTATGCTTTAAATAACACAAATTGAGGTTTAATTATTTTTCAACATATACATTTGTGACGTCATGACTTGATGACGTCACGATGGAGAGGGTTATGAATAGTTTAAAATAATGTGAACTATACTGTAGACTAGTATTATTGAAAACTTATAATTTGTACAATTGGTGAGTTCGATTTCATTGCCAGCATGTACTAGTGGTACATTTTTAGCTCGACTATTCGAAGAACATGAGAGCTATTGTAGTCGCCCCGGCGTCGGCGTCAGCGTCCGCGTCTGCGTTGGTTAAAGTTTTTTGTAAAGTCAAATATCTCAATTATTACTTGAGATATTCAATTGAAACTTACAATACTTATTAATAGTAACAAGGTACATCAGATAGACAAGTTTGATAACTCTGCCTACAATATTGACAGAATTATGCCCCTTTTTTACTTAGAAATTTTGGTTAAAGTTTTTTGTAAAGTCAAATATCTCAATTATTGCTTGAGATATTCAATTGAAACTTACAATACTTATTAATAGTAACAAGGTACATCAGATAGACAAGTTTGATAACTCTGCCTACAATATTGACAGAATTATGCCCCTTTTTAACTTAGAAATTTTGGTTAAAGTTTTTTGTAAAGTCAAATATCTCAATTATTGCTTGAGATATTCAATTGAAACTTACAATACGTATTTATAGTAACAAGGTACATCAGATTGACAAGTTGGATAACTCTGACTACAATATTGACAGAATTATGCCCCTTTTTAACTTAGAAATTTTGGTTAAAGTTTTTTGTAAAGTCAAATATCTCAATTATTGCTTGAGATATTCAATTGAAACTTACAATACTTATTTATAGTAACAAGGTACATCAGATTGACAAGTTGGATAACTCTGCCTACAATATTGACAGAATTTTGCCCCTTTGGAACTTAGAAATTTTGGTTAAAGTTTTTTTGTAAAGTCAAATATCTCAATTATTGCTTGAGATATTCAATTGAAAATTAAAATACTTTTTTATAGTAACAATGTACATCAGTTTGCAAAATTGCATAACTCTGCCTGCAATATTTGCAGAATTATTTGCCCCTTTGAAACTTAGAAATTTTGGTTAAAGGTTAAAGGTCTTCAAAGATATTTACTTGAAACTTTACACATGCACTTAGGGTCATAATTGGAGGGTCATAATTGTATGTCACTGACCAAGTTCCATAACTCTATCTTGCATTAAGGCTGATTCATATCCCCTTTTTCTACTTAGTCTCTTGGTTAATGTTTACATGCAAGTTTTACATATCTCAATAACTATTAAAGATATTTATTTAAAACTTCACATATGCATTTAGGGTCATAATTGTAGGTCACTGACAAAGATCCATAATTCTATCTTGCATTTAGGCTGATTTTTCTCCCCTTTTCCAACTTAGAAATTCATTTGTAAGCTGTTATCTCAATAACTACTAAAGGGTTTGTGCCTTTTTTGGGACACTTTTATGCATTCATAATAATTAAGCAGTGATTTACTTGATAAAACATCTTAATAACAAGCCTTTGTACCTTACTGTCAAATTTATGTATTCATAGGTAATTAGTATTATTATACTCAATAAAACACCCTTGTGACATTACCTTCCAAATAGTCAAGCCAATACTGTTTAATTAGACTCTCTCTAAGGCCTATAACAAGAATTTATAAAAAAAATTAGCCCTTTTGTAAACTTAAAAAATTTAACATTATCAAGGCTCCTTTACTATCAAGCACTTAGAATAGTCGAGCGTGCTGTCCTACAGACAGCTCTTGTTATTTATTAATAACACAGTAGACCTTCTTTCTAAATCTTTTAGATATATATAATTATCTTCAATCAAGATATAAATAATATCAGTTTGAATCATGTTTTTTTTATGCCACCGCAGCATCTGCGATGCGGTGGCATATAGCGATTCACCTGTGTGTGTGTGTGTGTGTTTGTTTGTTTGTTTGTGTGTGTGTGTGTTATATAGATTATATAGTGAACTTAAAAAATCTTCTTGTGAAAAACCACTTGTCCAATTTCAACCAAACTTGGCAGGATTGTTCCTAGGGTGAAGGGCTTCCAAAGTTGTTCAAAGAATTTCATTCCATGCAGAAATCTGGTTGCCATGGCAACCAAAAGGAATTATAAGAATAAATTTTAAAAATCTTCTTGTAAAGACCCAAAAGGCCTAGAGCTTAGATATTTTGCATAAGGCATTGTCTGGTAGACCTCTAACAAGATTGTTCAAATTATAGCCCTGGGGTCAAAATTGGCCCCGCCCCGGGGGTCATTGATTTTCACTATGTACATATAGTAAAAACTTAAAATACCTTCTTGTAAAAACCCAAAAGGCCTAGAGCTTAGATATTTTGCATAAGGCATCATCTGGTAGACCCTTACCAAGATTGTTCAAATTATAGCCCTTGGGTCAAAATCGGCCCCCGCCCCGGGGTCATTGATTTTCACTATATGTACATATAGTAAAAACTAAAACACCTTCTTGTAAAGACCCAAAAGGCCTAGAGCTTAGATATTTTGCATAAGGCATTGTCTGGTAGACCTCTACCCAGATTGTTCAAATTATAGCCCTGGGGTCAAAATCAACCCCGTCCCAGGGGTCATTGGTTTTCCTTATATGTATATAGTAAAAACTTAATTAAAATTCTTCTAGCAATTGACAAATGCTAGAGGTTAGATATTCTGCATGAAACATTGTGTTGTAAACCTCTAGCAAGATTGTTCAAATTATAGCCCTGGGGTCAAAATTATCCCCGCCCTGGGGGTCATTGATTTCAATATATACATATAGTAAAAAATAAAAAAATCTTATTGTCTGAAGGTACAAGGCTTAGAGCTATAATATTTGTTAAATAATATCATCTAAAGGTACTCTACCAAAGATGTTCAAATTTTGCCTCTTGTGTCAAAATTAGCCCCGCCCCTGGGAGCCATAGGTTTATCTTATATGTATATAGTTAAAACTTAAAAAATCATCTTCTCTAAATTGACAAAGGATAGAGTTAAGATATTTTGCATGAAACATTGTGTAGTGAACTTCTAGCAAGATTGTTCAAATTATAGCCCTGGGGTCAAAATTGGTTCAGCCCCGGGGGTCATTGATTTTCATTATGTACATATAGTGAAAAAAAAAATTTTTGCCTGAAGGTTCAAGGCATAGAGCTTTGATGTTTGATATATAATATCATCTATAGGTCCTCTACCAAAGTTGTTCAAATGTCAAAAATTTGCCCTGCCCGGGGCAGTGATTCTCATTATGTACACGTAGTAAAAACAGAAAATAAAACAAATGTTTTCTGAATGGGAGAAAGCTATAGCTTAGATATTTGACTTGAAATGTTGTTTGGTGGACCTGTATCAAGATTGTTATTAAACCCTTGGGTCAAAATTATGCCTTGCCCAAGGGGACAGTGACCTACTTTCTTGTCCTTTGATGTACAGCAATGACATTTTGACCATGTGCACAGTTTTAGTTGAAAAAATTGAACTTTAACCTAGATTTTGATGATGTGACCTACTTTCTTGTCCTTTGATGTACAGCTATGAAATTTGAACCATGCGGTGGCATAGCATTTTTCTCAAATGCAATCTTGTTTCTTATTGAAATTTGATTGTGTTCAATAGATATTTCAAGCTCTTGATAACTTGATTTTAAAACCAGAATCAAATATAGAGCATGCAAATGAACGTTGCTAGGGATGTTTTTGTCGTAAGATTTATCGTAAGTGAATTTTTTATCTTAAGATAAAATCTTAACTTACGAGTGGCTTTGTGAAAATGACTTAAGATTTAACTTACGATTAGCGTAAGTGAAAAACTTAAGATAAGTCGTAAGATTTTTTGTGAAAATGTCTGCAGGTGCCCCTCCGTGCATTATTTCAGGCACGAACGGGCATCCGAGTAGAACCACCGATGTTCCGTAAGCTAGCTGGATAGCTTCCTCACATGAAAGATTCCAAGTCCTTGCGGGATTTGAACCCACAGCAAGGGGCAAGCGGTTTGAAGTCAACAACCTTAACCACTCGGCCACGGAAGCCCCTTTAACTTATAGTAATGACCCTTGATTTGTTACAGAACAATAATCGTTTCTGCGCTATTTCTCTGCAACAACTGGCTGGAATTCAATGAAACTTTATGGGAACCATCGATACCAAAAAGTAATGCGCATATTATGGCCTTGTTCCGGTCAGACCCTTCAAAACAGAGTTATGGCCCTTGATAAGCAATACAGTATGCATATGGAGCAATAATCATTTCCTCGCTATTTTTCTGCAAGTATTGGCTGGAATTCAATGAAACTTTATCGGAACAATCAATTCCAAGGGGAGATGAGTATATCATTGCCTTGTTCCGGTCAGACCCTTCAAGACAGAGTTTTGGCCTTTGATTAGTTGTGCAGTATGCATATACAGCAATGTTGCTATTTCTTTTCAACTGCTGGATTAATTTCAACAAGACTTTATTGGAACCACTGATACAGAAAGGAAATTTGCATGCCATGATAAATTTATGCTCTCCAGTTGTTGTGTTAGTAACTATCAGTCCTCGGCAGGTTATACAAATTCAACAAATTTAATTGCTTGTTAGATTGGTGAATGTTGGCAGGCAGCGTGGTTAGCAGGTGTAAACAATTTGTAATCGCAATTCCTCCTGCAATTAACAGATTTCAAGCAAACTTTACAGAACTATTTTCACAAGTGCCCTATGGAATGTTTTGTGAACTTTTGAATGGATCATTTTTGGCAGGATTATGGCGCTTTGATAAGTGTTTTACACACATCATATATATTTGACCTTAGAAACATAATTTATTAGCCTTTGCAGACGTCTACTAGGCAATGCTACATACCAAATACTCATATCTATACAAGCTGTGGGCATTGCACTTTCTTGGGAGATTTCATTTTGAATTTTTTTTATCTCATATTACTTACATAAGCTCCAGGCTAATTCCATTTACATTACTTTTGTAGAGGATCACCATTGATCATTCCTGTGAAGTTTGGTAAAAAAAAGCCACCATGTAGTTTCAGAGGAGATGTTGTTAATGAAGTTGTGGACAATAACAAATTACAGATGTGAGACCACCTTGCCATCACTATAACTCAATACTGAGCACTTTGAGCTCAGATGAGATAAGTAGTAAATACAAGCAAAAAGTTATTATTACTCGAAGAAATAGATATTTTATTTAATATACACAAAAGTCATTTATTCCAAGTAAATAAAAATGCAATTTAAATGTACATAATGAAACAGAACGCTTCAGTCTTAACAAAAACAATTATCTCTACCATGATACATTGCTCCAAATTCCTCGAGGATAAAAGTGATGTAAGCAGAAAATTTGTTTCCTTTCTTAAGACTTAAACAATTGTGACAAATTTTTGAACCTTTTATTATACCAAATACTGTGGATTTACTTATGAATACATGTAATTATATATTTCCAAACCTTTCTGTCTAAGAAAGATTATATTCAAAATTTGTTTAATGTAGAGATATCAACAATGTAATTGTATACACACAAACACACATTCTTACTTTCAAACTGTAACAAAGCAATGATTTCTAATATTCTAATAATAATTACTTCAATACAGTTAATACTTTCTATAATAACTGAAAATATGTTATGCTTTGGATTTCCACATTTCATTGGGTAGGAAAACAACACAGAAAAAAACATGTGCACTGGATATAATAAATAAACAAAGCAATTAAGATCAGATGTAGAATTTAGCACACTTTTGTGCAAGATCATTTCGATAAAAATACATGTACATAAACTTAAATTACATATATATGTATAAAATATATCATCAGGTTGTGGCAGGAATCCTCAAAAGAATTTCTAATTCTGCTGCAGGAATGCCTGGTCCCTTTATACACTTGATATCACAGGTTATTTTTCTTCCAACACGGTAACACATACTGTATACATAAATTTTAATTGATAAATACAAAATGCAAGAACATACAGTTAACATCTTTATTTTCCTGTATATTTTCAATTCATCTTCCTACACCTTCAATTTGTATAACATTTCACGGCAGTTTTTAAAATGCTCCCTTTGTTTCAACACAATGAAAATAAGATGCGAGATATCTTAGAAGCTTATGATAATTAATCAGAAATTTGACAACACAATGTATACAGGAGAGCATTTTAGAAACTTGGTCATCTTAATAACTAGTTCATGTATTGGTTGTGTGTTGTATGGTGTATATGGAGGAACAGTTTAAAAGGGGAACTTCCAGACGAGGATACCACCATCTTCACTCACACTGCAGATATATTTCTGTTGTGGACATATCCTGATCCTAGTGATTTTACCACTATGTCCCTGACCAACTGCTACTACCTCTCCTCCATCATATGTCCAAACCTGTATACAATATAGTGTATATATGTGTATATGTTATTATAGTAAAATAAAATGGATACATTATATAGAAATGATAGTGAGTTATGATGATCATTGATGTATTTAATTATCTTATACCATAAAAGACAAAAAGATATTGACTATTAACTATTTATTAACTATCCTACCAGTGACTTTCATAATATAATTCCTAAATATCAATGCATAAAAGTATCATTTGTATCATATTTAAGTCTTTGAAAGACATCTCATAAGCACAATGACTATATTCAAATTACAAGTTTGAAATTTCTTAATTCAAAAATTGTAACAGAATATTAAAAGAGATTAGATATATTCTTTGACATAAAGTCCTGCTTAAATGATAGAGAGACATACCTTTATTAACTTGTCATCACCACCAGTAACAAAGTATTGTCCATCTGGAGAGGTATCCATTGCATTGATAGATCCTGTCATAGAGCCTTCTAAACCTCTAATGGTTGAACCATCATAACATTCCCAGTAACTAACCTTCCTGTCTGTACCACTGGTAATTATCTGAGTCTCATCTTTGTTGTAGCTCACACACTTAAATAATGTGTTTGCAAAAACAATCTGGCTTCTTGATTTCTTCCTATTTAACAACATAAAGTAGCAAATTAGTGACTGTTGATAATAATGAGATATGTTAAAGAAAAAGATTTTTTTTTTGATCTGTATGTTCAATATGAAGACTTATTAATACTTGTAATTTATATAGCCAGAAATGCATTTCATAAAATCTTAAGTTAGGAATGTTTATTACATGCTTTTCGGTGGTTTATAGAAATATATCAGTGATATAAAAACTGGTAATTTCACTGTTTGAAACAGTGAAATTACCACTTTGATAATTTCACTGTTTTGAATTTAAGCCCGTTACGTTGTTTCAGTGAAATACCAGCGTGCACAGAACTGGGTACCAACTTAATGACGTGATGTCGTAAATGACGTCACGTTGTATTATTATTTGGCGTGCTTTTCATTCAGTATTTGGTTTAATGTCTTTTTAAAACGTTCTTTGCATATAATAAAAAGAAAATTTGTTTAGTTTAGTGAACACCAAAAGTTCATATTTCACTCGTGGCTGCGCCACTCGTGAAATATACCTTTTGGTGCTCACTCGGTGAAATATATTCCGATCTTACACTGAACTAAACAAATATCCTCTATATATTGATAAAAATTATGGACTTACTCCAAATTCCAGATAATGCAAGTTCCATCATTACTAGAGGAGACACATTCCTTGTCATCTTTACGTATCTTGATGTCAGAGACAGATCCTTTATGTTCCTTCAATGTGTGCTCTAGCTCATAGCATGGATCACTGCGACCATCCCACAACACATGCCAAATTCTAACCTGACCTTCACCCCCACCAGATACTATCTGGAAGTCCCATTCACCTTGGCTGCAATGTCTTGCATTCTGAGTGCATGCAATGGATGATACACCCTTGCTATGGGCAGCATTGATCTTCATCTTTAACTTTATGTCATTGCCACTGGCACCACCAAACCCAAATATACGAATAATTCCATCATCCCAAGCTGCAATCAAAAGTCATCTTATTTTATTGTTTAAAAAAAGAACAATTTTCAAACCCTGATAATTTTCACGACCACTTATATGCCTCAAATGCATTCAATGTTCAGGATCTTATTTGAATGCTGAACATTCGTTTACATCCCCAGTACTTAGGTATATTTAAAGTGACATTTTGCTCTTTTTTCATTGTCAAGTTGAGCTGAATTTACTATATATTCCACAGATTGACTCTTAAAATGGCGACTGACCAACAGTTGATATTGAAAATTTTTAGGATGAAATATAAATCTGCCTAAAATATAAAGACTGCCACTACCTTACAGTTGAATTCAGATGGATATTTACAAATATTTCCTTGAGCCATGTGACTTATTTATTGTTTATGCGTTAATTAATTTCTAAATTGAAAGGAATCATTGCAAAATGAAAACTTATTTTGACTTTCATCTGTTCACACACTATCTACCATTGGATAGGTAATATGTCACTTTAATTCTATGCTAAAAAAGTGTTACTAAAATTGTTTGATACTTAGGCTGTGGATGTTGTGAATGCAAAGAGTACATCTAAAGTATGCTATGTTATAAGTTTACCAGAATACCTTTTGTAGTTTCATATTATACTAAAATTTAACCTGGTAGGTTACAACTAATGGTAGATGGTGCATATAAAGGTTCAGAAAAAAACTGTGTACACCTAGTCACTAATCATATCCTCATTGATAAACAGTTAAATACCTGAAACAATAGCTGTTCCATTGCAAGCCAGAGCAATAGCATTGCATGTCATATTGGCAACAGTTTGTCGCTTCAACTCTTTCATAGTCTTTAAGGCCCAGATTCTGATCTGTTCTTTCTGACATGTTACAATCAACTCTGATGTTCCTCTAAATTGTAAAATAAAAATCATATTGTTGAGCAATGAAAAATTGTCAATTTCAGTTAACAAAATCATTGTAAGCACAGTCATTGTAAGATGTGTATCAATTGCTATATGGTATTTTATTTTCATAACGTGTATATTACCTCTTATCATGAATATGATATTGATTTTTCAATTAATTTTATTCACTAAAATTCTTAACATAATTCTTGTATAAAAATACATGCTTATACATGTATAGCAGAGTAAAAAAGAATTTAATCTGCCTGTCATAAAAAAACTAGCATTATGTTCATCAGCATGTGAAATTATTTGAGCTACTTACGGAGGAAAGATGACATCTTTAACTTCACTAGAGTGACAGGTTTTGATGAGTTCACAGCTATCAAAGGTAGGTTCACCACCTTTAGTTGAACACTCATACCCAAATTTGTACATATTTGCATGCTTGGTGCCAACAAAGAACTGAAATGCACAAAGATATACAAACATTTCAGTACGCCATTATCTTGGGTAAATAAATGAAAGAATTACTAATATATAACAAGAACTTACTTTATAAAAGTACGAAAAAAGAGAAAAAAACATTTTGTAACAAGAACTTACTTTATTATAGTAAAAGCAATCTTTTATTACAGTAAATTCAGACCTGACACTTTCTTCTTTTGGATATTTTTAAAAAAATACTGAGCATTTCATGTTTTATTTCCTAATAGGAATCTAATTATATTTTCAAGATATATGTATCAAGTAACTGTATCTACCTTCACGTTTCAAAATGGTATACTATGCTTTTATAATTAAGTTTCGGACAAAGATAAAATATGGAAATAACAAAGGGCAATTACTCCAACACATACACTTAAGAGTTGAAGTTCCTATACTATTTGTGATATGCCCTGGCCAAACAAAACAAAAAAGATGGTAAAGAAATGGAAAAAAGGCACAGATCCTTATTATGTTTTGCTGTTGTTGTTGTTGAAAGAGTCAAGGAACATTATTATAATTATATTGTTATGGAATAAATTTCAATGTCTTCTTTTGTTATTTATACTGTTACCTAGCCCTCTATTACTTATGCAATGCCAGACAAATGGACAAGCTGACTCCAATATAAACTCTTGCAACTATTTTTCCCAATTCATGTGTTTTGTAGATTTAACTAGCAGTTGGAGAAAATATTGTTCAATTAAAAGAAATTTGAACAAATCAATGGATATTGTTACAGTGTTCAATCTAGAGCGCGCCATTGCGCCATTGACCCCCTGAAAAGGCCGCCGGCGCAAAACAAAATCAACTGTGGGCCCGACGGGCGCACTCATAGAAAATGCCCTAAATGACATTAAAATGCTTTCTTAAACCTGATTAAGTACATAAAAGAAGTGTCTTGTGAATAATATTAATAAATACTGAATTCAAAACTGAAGTTTGTATTGAAAAACAAGAGCATGTTGGTAAGATAGTTTACCGCACTCGGTAACCCATTTAAAACCTTTATTGCTACGCTCTCTCGGTCCGCGTCTGTAAATACTATGTAGACTTGTTCTTCGTACCGTAACTATTACTTACTTTTGAGTCACAGTTTTTATAAGCAAAACAAATCGTCACAGATAATCCAATACGTGCGTGTAGTTATAGTTTTTTCACGGTCAAAACAAATAAATATGTAATAACTTTCCAAAGGAAAAAAAATATATACCGTATATATTTGTGAAAAGTGCGAGTTAATTATAGAGAAGTGTGCATAAATCAGTGTTCAATCTAGAGCGCGCCATTGCGCCATTGACCCCCTGAAAAGGCCGCCGGCGCAAAACAAAATCAACTGTGGGCCCGACGGGCGCACTCATAGAAAATGCCCTAAATGACATTAAAATGCTTTCTTAAACCTGATTAAGTACATAAAAGAAGTGTCTTGTGAATAATATTAATAAATACTGAATTCAAAACTGAAGTTTGTATTGAAAAACAAGAGCATGTTGGTAAGATAGTTTACCGCACTCGGTAACCCATTTAAAACCTTTATTGCTACGCTCTCTCGGTCCGCGTCTGTAAATACTATGTAGACTTGTTCATCGTACCGTAATTATTACTTACTTTTGAGTCACAGTTTTTATAAGCAAAACAAATCGTCACAGATAATCCAATACGTGCGTGTAGTTATAGTTTTTTCACGGTCAAAACAAATAAATATGTAATAACTTTCCAAAGGAAAAAAAATATATACCGTATATATTTGTGAAAAGTGCGAGTTAATTATAGAGAAGTGTGCATAAATTATTACGAACACGCCTTCATCCAATTAAAAAAGTCTTAAAGATGGAGCAATCAAACACGATTGGCTAGGGAGTGTCTGACAATCGAGTAAATTAACTTTGATTGGTCTTTGGCTGGTCGGCACTAAAACATTGTGCATATCATTAATCAATACAGACATCTTAAGCGTGACGTAAGAACTGCTGCCCTGACAAAAGATCAAAGGTACCGGTATGTCAATATACATTGTCTTAGCACCTGTTGACACTTTGTTTTTCGCTTGGATATATTGAGAAGAGTAAATGTTTTTACCGACTATTGTAAGTTTATATTCTTCATAAACAAAGCTAATTTCAAAATATGATTTTCCTTTAGAGTCACAGTACCTGTGCTCGACCAGCCCAGTGCTCGACCAATACTTCTATTTGTGTATGATTTATGCATTAAAGTGAAAAAACCCTGGGAGTTTGTGTGTGCTATTTGTACCTGACCTGTAACCTCTACACCATGTACAAGTACTCCAAGTTTGGTAGAAGATTGACCATTTTTCAGACAATATTAAACAGTACAAAAATACAATTCTATAATACAAGTAGTAGTAAAAACTATTTAAAACACTGAAATAATGATAATTTAGGGCAAATGTGGACAATACTTTGTTAAATTGCCTTTACTTTTATGACTCCAATTGATTTCCATAGGAAAGGTGTTCAAAAATTATCAAAACCCTGCTTTCCATAAAAGGCAGGGGCTATGAACATGTAAACAAATATGGCAGCTGTACGGAAAAAAATCGGGAACACACCACTTAAAGCGTAGACAATTTGTATATTACACTAATTATCACACTTAACTATGTTTGCAGAATGATTTAGTAAAAAAAAATATGAGAATAAGTAATCTCAAACACCCCAGTATATGCAAATTCCAAAACTCTTATAAACACTTTATTTGTCAATGTATAGCATTTCCTTTGTATCATATTTGCTCTCATATTTTCATCTATAGACACTAAAACATAAATGTTTCAAACTATTTTTGAAATAGAATTGTTGAACTTAAAAAGTCATATCTGTTTTTAAGAAATAAAAGTTCTGATAAAGATAAAACCACCTGGTCGAGCACTGGTTTGGTTGTCTGAAAAATATAGTGGTTTTATGCCCTATATACAACTCCGTGGTAAATTGTATCCTAATCTGTTTTATTAAAACGCTTTAGCTTATTGTGAGTTTGAAAGGCCCAGCTTTGTAACAAAAATAAGTTTCCCAGCAAACCTTTTGTTCTGAAAGAGTTTTTATGTGATTTTGTGAAAAACTGGTTGAGCACTGGTACGGTGACTCTATATGTCGGGCGCTGATTAAAAAACTGAACATTATTATCAAATATCCCTGGTAACATTAAAATAAGATTCATATTTTTCTTTGAACATTATGTCATCGCGCTTCTTTACCAATCAGTTCTTAAAATTGAGCCTGTATCAACGCTAATGTCATTTTTTTAGTTGAGTTGTTTTGAAATTTTGCAACCGTTTTTGGTCTAAATATGGTACGTGAACAAGTAACTTAAAAGATACAATACCTTATTTGAATTTGATGTTCATTTTAAGTGTGGGCCCCCTTTTTTCTCAAATGACCCCCTTTTGAAAAGTTTATGGGCCCGAAGGGCCCCCTGGGAATTTGTTCTAGATTGAACACTGTTGTTATCAGAAGTTTGACTTAATGTAAACTGGTAACTTTACAACAGAATAAAGCTGATCATAACATTAATTACCTGGTGTCCATTTCCTCTGAGAGCTATAGATGTGATAGCATTGTCATGAGCATGACTGTCAGATTCATCCTTCCATGATCTGCCAATGATATTATTTGAATGAGAAACACTTCTTATCAGGTTTAAACATTTATCATTCTATTTGCATATTTTGCAAGTTTTGACAAATATTTCATTAATTTACAATTGTCAACAAAAATTCTTGCTGAACCAGCTTTTTTCAAACATATAATAAAGAAATTTAAGTGTTCAGTGGTGTCTCTTTATTCACTGTAATCTATAAAACAATGACAAATAAATATTTACCTCACTTGTTTTGGTTTAACTTGTTTTTTAGAGCCTTCACCGGGCAAAGGGAACTTGAGCTCTACCAACTTTCCACAACCAGTTCCAACAAGAAAGTTGTTATTTTTCAATTGAGCTAAGGCAGTGACTCCCATTTCAAAGAGTTGTTTCTTTTCAGGAGCACAGAATTGGAAGATTTTTGTTTTCATGTTTATAGCAAAGATGTCACCTGTCTCTGTTCCGCAGTAAAAAAATGAATCATCCATCTGTAATAACAAGAAATTCCAAAATAATATACATCATGTATAAACATTATAATCTAACAAAATAATTACCAGTATTTTTAATGAGCTCCACTAAAGTCAAAGAGCCTAAAAACATAAAATTATAAAATCTTGCATAGATTATGTGATGCACTTAAAGTGGAAAATATGCAAAAGATAATAAAAAGATAATAGATAAGGAAAATAGTGAAAATTGCACGAATTTCAGTCTGGTTCGAGTGAAAAGCGATGCAACACTTTTCAAGTTTTGGTCATTGTGCACAATAAGAATAATAATTCTGGAAACCAAGCAAGGAAATGATGTGATCTATTTGTCTAGTCCTACATCAAATGGTAAACAAATCTTGAAAAAATATTGTCAATCTCTTCATGTAAAATGAATTAAACCTCAGAGGAATCCCTATAAAAATTCTTCTACATGTATATACAGTACCAGTAAACAATAATTGTAAATATTGTCTACACAATCAAATCCCAGCTTATTTCTTAATTCCACATCAATGGGTGGGAAAATAATTAAAATACAATAAGCTACATATACATATAAGCTAGTTAAAGCTTGTTTTCTTACATCTGACAGCAAAACAAAATATATTGAGTACATTTTTTTATAGATTTCTAGTATCGTTTCCCATCACAGTTGACCCTTTAAAAGAAATATATACACTTAAAAAGAGATGTAACTTACACTTATACATATACACAAGAATTTTCTTTTGTTCTGTCCCAAGTTAACATCTTCTGGTCTGATTTTTCTATCAGCCACATTCAACTTCCACACTCTTAATGTAGCACTTAAAATTAAAAAACCTTCATTATCATATTATTATCTTAATAATTACAGATCACTACTTATGAGTAATATTCAAATCGCAATAAACATTATGTTTTTTTATTTTTAAAGTCATTTTAGATGTATTTAATAATGATCTCATCAAGATAAATTTAAGTTTATCTCAGGCTAAACAAGAGCGATCAGTGATCACATGTGTCGCCTCATGATGGCCAATTTCATGATGGGACAAGTTTTGTGACAGACGGAGAAGTGATCGGAGTAGTGGCGACATAAATTCCTGTAAAGTTAGGATGAAATTGCCCCAGTATTTTATGAGGAGTAGTAGGGACAAGTTTTGTGACAGACGGACAGACAGTGCACAACTAGACTTGGTACTGATCATTCCTGTAAAGTTTGGATAAAATTGCACCAATAGTTTATGAGGAGTAGTCTGGACAAGCTTTTGTGTATCTGGCAACACACAGAAAAAAAACACCTTTTTATCAAAGAGCCATAACTCGGCCAAAAATCATTCAAGCGGTAAACCCGTGCAATATGCGCAAGGACTTGAGCTGCAGATCAATCTTATAAAGTTTTATTGAAATTGCATTAGTGGTATAAGAGAAGTAGTCCGGACAAACTTTAAAAATAAAAATTATCAAAGGGCCATTACTCTTACAAAAATCATTGAACCGGAAAATGCTGACAATATGCACAACTAGACTTGGTACTGATCATTCCTGTAAAGTTTGGATGAAATTGCACCAGTAGTTTATGAGGAGTAGTCCGCACAAGTTTTGTGACGGACGGACAGACAGACGGACGACGGAGAAGTGATCCCTATATGTCGCCACTACTCCGTAGAGGCAACACAAAAAGCATATTTCTTATTGTCCTCTTGGTCTTGCAATTTTTGTTCATCAAAACTCCTTTCAAATGAAATCATGGTAATTGTTTATCTTATCATGAGGAAATATTGTAAACATACAGATAAAGGTTTTGTAAAATAAAAAAAAAAACATCACTGTGATAATTGCGTAATATTTTTGAAAGGACTGCTCTATTTCTTCCCTGTTGAATCCAAATAAGCATTATGATAAGCAAAAAATTTCAATTGTGCTAAAATAACAGTTTTACTTACTCCCCACCAGTGACAAAGAGGTCATCAGACTGGTTTGAGAACTTGACACATAATGTATTGCCTGCACTCTCCACTTGAGCAGGAGAACCACAGATCGCATTACCTGTGGCCATATCCCATATAACAACACTGAAATAAATAAAATAATTAATGTCTATTATAAAGAATAATTTGATTATATCTGATGAATGAACAATTCATTATAGAAAACATGATGGTTTATTCTATATTTATAGCTCTTTAATATGTACGTCTTTCTTTGCTTATGATTATCTAGTGAAAGTTAATTGAAAGACAAAAGTGTCATGACATTGTATGATTACTAACACATTTTAAATTAATTGATTTCTTTTTTATTATGCATTAAAACTGTACACAGATATTGTATACTTTCAACACAAAAAAAAATAAAAGGCTACAAACCAGCCATCATCGCAACCTCCTAAAGATGCCAGGTACAGGTCATTTGGTGAGAAATCAAGAGCCTGAATGTTCACTTTATGTAATTCTAATGTGTATAGACGACTTTTTGAGGCATAATCCCAAACAATTGTTATAGCCTGTAAGAGAAAGGTTTAAACTAAAATAATAAATAATAAAAATGAAATAAATGTAATCAATAAATTACAAAAAAAAGGAATTTAGTAACAAAAATTAAAGATTTAGTATGCTTGAAAAAACCCAAAGCCATGTATGCATGCAAAGAATTTACATAGTTGTTAGATTTCCATACCTTGAATCCCATGTATGTTTTCTGGCCTGATGCTATAAGATGACCAGATCTGTTTGAAATCGAGATACAAGTAACCTCATCTGTGTGACCCCATAGTAAAGTTGGTCTTCCATTACCACTTATATCCTCTATGACAACAGCACAACCAAGTGGGTATATGATATGTTGTCTGTCTGGGTGAACCTTTAAACCATGAATTACTTTACCTATAATTAATAAAAGAAAAAACATTCATGAGATATATTTACAAAAGTAATTAAGTTAAGACAGGCACCCTTTTACACATCATGTAACAGATATATAATGTAACATTCAATCTTCCGTGTAAATGCATTTAAAATTTTAACTGATTTGAACAGCATAAAACATTTTATAAGCAGGCCAATTTTTGATACTTTCGTCACAATTTTTTGTCAGGTGAAAGCAGTGACAACATTTATGGTACATTTTTTTAAAGCACTCGATCCTGTTTGAAAGTCTTTAGAAATTATGTAAAACAAACCATTAAATTACTGTCATCTAAGACACCGACTAATTGAAATTTGAACACAACAACCATTTATCTTTTATTGTTTAAGATTATGTAATATACATATATATTATGGTTTCTCTACAGTATATGACAGTTTGACAGACTAATTTTTTATGTGTCTGCTTATTTAGTTATCCATTTTTTTTTTTAATAAACAAGATACAGATTCATCGATAAGGGCCCAATATGGGTCCAATATATACTGCTAGCAGGGTAATATTTAAAAGAAGCATGTGATAGAACAGTCATTCCTACATTTGCAAACTATGTCAGGAGGATAACTGAGAGCTTGTACATTGATGGGTAGGGGGGGTAATAAACTTTTTTTCATCCCTTATATATTACATCTGGACACATTTAAAGCCTGAGCCCACAGGGCTAGGGATTCCAGGACACATTTAAAACCCAAGCACAGGGCTAGGGATTCAAAAGTCTTAGGGCTTCTGCATATAATTATTAAAATAGGTGACACTAATAATAAGCACACAAAGTTATACAAAACAATACAGTTTACTTGCTTTAAACATTATAACAACGTTTCTAGCATAATAATAGACAAACATGGCTAATTGGTATCATCGGGTGTCCTTAATTAAGTTCTATCAGGAGTGAACACTATTTCTTTCACTATTAACATTTGAGTGTAGGGCAAAAGCCCCCCGTCTAAAAATGACAAGGTGGACAAAAGCCCCCCCATTAAATTTACACATAGGACAAAAGCCCCCCCCCCTTTACATCTTTTTTCACACGCACAGCCGCTCAAATTCATCAAATTTCACATAAACTTTTAAATAAAAATGAAAAGAATTTGTTTTAATGTTTATTTATAATGTATATATTGAAGTGATAACAAAGTATATGATAACAGATGAAATAATGCATGCATGCGATACTGAATTCATAGCTTTTCATATACACAACAAGGGTCAGAAGAGTAGTAATGTTAAATCACTTTTGTAAAGGGATCAAATTAATATCCTGAGCACTATGTCACCTAAATGTGATGTCCATACATATCTTTTAAACACATAAAAAACACAACTTTAATGCACTATATGAAAATTTGATTGACCATGGGGGGGGGGGGGCTTTTGTCCTACCTTTACTTTTTTATGAGGGGGCTTTTGCCCTTAGTTATAATGTGTAAATTTCATGGGGGGCTTTTGTCCACCTTGTCATTTTTAGATGGGGGGGGCTTTCCTCAGGGAGGGGCTTTTGTCTGTATCCCTTAACATGGCTTTTGTCCGTATCCCTTAACATTTTAACCATGACTAGAATACATTTCCAGTCTCACCTTATGGTTATAATGTTTGGACTATTTTGCTTATCTTTTACTAACAATCCAATGTGCTCTTAATTCCTGTCTATAACACTTGTGAGAGGGGTTTGCAGTATTCAGAGATTTAAAAAGTTAAAATGGGTAACCTGTACTGGCATGCGAGCAGTTCCCGTACAAAAATCGTAGTTACTTAAACATTATTTTTTATTACGCTCACTCACCAAAATTTTAATGTTACACATTACTATTCAGCTCGTCACACAAATCATGGAAATTCCATCATGTTCTAAACATAGAATAACCCTTACTTATGAGGCCTCATATGGGGTACCGAAATTATCCATTATTTTGTATGAAGAGAAGTAGTTCCCGTACATAAAATTTAACCCATTATAATTATACAATTTTGTTATATCGGACCTATTTTTCAATTATAATTGTTGAACAGACCATTTTCTAAGAGATAAATAGATGCAATTCAGGAAATAGAGCGAGTACTTAACGCTGGTATCAATTACCTGGTACCGTTACCCCAACGCATTCTCATGCAATGGCATGCTTGTATGCATGATATTTTACGCATCAAAGCCATAAAATTATTTAATATAGTAATATTGATCAAAATTCTGACAATTAAACAAGTTTTCACCACATTGCCTACTTATCTGTAAACAGGTGGTATTAGTGGAAAACCCTTTAACAGGCCTCACGTGTAAGTATTTTAGCGCATGCGCGCAAGGACGGAATCCCCCAGAGAAAACAAGGTCACGTTTTGACAACGCACAGGTGAAAGTGATTTAAAATGAGACTTTTATACGTACTGCCGAACTGACACTTAGATTTTGTCTCTTTTATCTATCTTCCATATAGTCAAACCCCTGCTGGGGACCTAGACTTGACGCGCGTCAACTGACAAGAATGTTAGTAAAAGAGTTGAAATAAAAGAATATAAAAGTAAAGGAAATGAGTATATTGTTAAAAACAGGTTAAAAACAGAAAAGGTATTTTTAAGGAGACGTATGTTCAATCCGGCTTACAGCCAGACTGAACTCGGGGCCAGACAAGTTTATGATTTCAGGTGGTAAAGCATTCCAGTGGACAATTGTTCTTGGGAAAAATGAATATTTATAGTAATCAGTTTTAGTTTGGACTTGTTGGAATGCATGGAGATGGGATGTTCTAGATGATCTTGTAAGAGGGACGATATACTTTGGGAAAGGAATAGCCACCTGGTCATGCAGGATGTTGTGAAACATGACCAGGCGTTGGTCAATACGCCGAAGGTCAAGGCGCCTCCATTGAAGGGAAGTCAACATGTCAGTGACACTTGACATACGGCCAAAGTCATGTTTGACCCACCTAGCAGCCCTTCTCTGGACTGACTCTATCTGGTCAATGAGAGTTCCTGTGTAGGGGGACCAGACCGTGGAGCTGTACTCAAGCTGGGGTCTGACAAGTGTCTTGTATGCTGTTGACTTTAACCTTTCTGAGTGAACCTTGATGTTTCGGCGTAGAAAACCAAGTGTTTGATTCGCCTTTGTTGTGATGTTGTTTATGTGTTTGTTCCATGTTAAATCATTTGATATTGTAATGCCAAGGTATTTTGCAGATGGAACTGTTTCTAATGTGGTGTTATGTAGGAGGTATTTTGTTGGAATGACTGTTTTTCGTTTTGTGATTTGGATAACCTGGCATTTTGATGGATTAAATTGCATGTCCCATTTTGTTTCCCATTGTTCAAGTTGGTGTAAGTCATGTTGAAGTAAGCTAGAATGAGAAGCGACAGTCAGAGATAGATAGATGGCTGTGTCATCAGCAAATAGGCGGACCTTAGAGGATTGGACATATTCAGGAAGGTCATTTATGTATATAAGAAATAAGAGAGGTCCGAGGACCGAGCCCTGGGGAACACCGGAGGAGACTGGTATGGAGCTGGATGTGGAGCCATTTACCACCACGGACTGTGACCTGTTATCAAGAAAACCTTTGATCCATTTAAGAGTCTGACCCCTTATACCGTAGAAATGCAGCTTATACAGGAGTTTTTCATGGTTGACCATATCAAAGGCCTTAGAGAAGTCAAGAAGGATTAAGTCTACTTGGCTTCTCTGATTTACTGACTGTAGAATATCATCTATAAGCATTAATAACTGGGATTGACATGACCTTTTTTCTCGGAAACCATGCTGCAATTCATAGAACAAGTTTGATCTAGTAAAGTGCTTTGTTATACTGGAGGAGACAATGTGTTCCAGGGTTTTACACAAGATACAGGTAAGAGAGATAGGGCGATAGTTGGCTGGGTCTGACTTGCTACCTTTTTTAAAGATAGGGGCGACATTTGCCATTTTCCAGATGTCTGGTAGAGTGCTGGACTGCAGTGATTTCTGGAAAAGTTTGGACACTATAGGGGCTAATTCTTTACTGGTATTTTTGAGCACTATGGGTCTAATTTGATCAGGTTCTGCAGCCTTATGGGGGTTGAGGTTTTTTAAAAGCTTCTCAACACCTTTTACAGAGATCTTTTATGCATCTGCTTGATTTGAAATGAATTTTTGAAGATTGCAAGTAAAAATCAAGCGTTTAAATGAAAAATACGGGTACTGCTTCTGTACGGGAACTGCTCGCATGCCAGTATAGATCTATAGACTATACCTGATAGATCTATTTGAAGAAAATATTTGACTTGTTCTGTTGTTATTTGACTTGTAAATCTACATGTAATTTAACTGTATTTATTTTAAAGAAAAAAAACATAGTCTACACTTAAACTTTGTTTGTTCAAAATAAAATGATTCACTAAGAAATCGACACGCACACAACAGATAATCAAATAACAACATGTTGATAAAACTGAATAGATTCTACTCGTATCGATTTATTCTACTGATTATTATTTCAAAATTATTTACCATTAAACCCATCTATCCTTTCCAATTCCAACCTTGGAACTTCATAAGCTTCTTCGACTTGTTGTTGCTCCATATTAAGCGAAGGAGGTACACTATAATTTTAAATCAAACCTCCTTGTCTTTCTGGCATGAACATACAGCTTCGAAATCACTGGTTGCTACCGGTAACAATATGGCCACCTAACAACGCCACCTGCTAGACAAGAGAGACAACTCCAACTTTTGTTTTAGGTCGCAAAACCCTAAATGTTTTTAGATTGACACCACTAAATAATTTAACAATCCATCAGAAACAAAATGGAGTTTAGTTTAAATATAGTTTATTTCAAAGATTTTTACAGTATATATACAAATAATACTAATAAGTAATGTACATGATTAAGGCATGAATTGTTGAAAAATGTTGTTGGGTCCGAACGCTGAGCTTTTAAAGGCCTTCCCCTTATGGAGTTTGAATGTCTTTTAAAATTTAGATTTATTTCGTTGTAGAATACATATACGTGGAAATTTCTTATATCAACATGTACTGTACAAACATTTAAAACATACATGAGAATAAATAACCATGACATGCACACCAACACAAAGGATTGCTCAAAAAAGGGAGACTTTTTTTCCATTCTCTTCCCCTGTGTAGTTTGCATGACAAAATTAAAGAGCCTTTATCCAGTGCAAATGAGTATTTTCAATTAAATATTAACACAGTTAGATTTCAATTATTTTAACACCGACTAGAATTACAGCATTGCATCACATTATTCATGTTAAAACATAATAAATGAAGCAAATGATAAAATTAATAAGCATTAGATATTTTACCTTAAGACAAACTTCAATGAAATAATATTATTATTCAATTATAAACTTCATTATATCACAGTCACAAACTTAAACCTTTTGCTAAAACATTTGGCAAGATACCAAGACGCAGGAATGAGAACTTAAAAATAAGTATTGCGAGACGAAAAGAAATGCGTCATATTACATATTAATTAAAAGTGTTAAATGATTAACGAAATTTGTTAAAACCATTTCTATACCGAAACAACCTGATATAAATTTAACGTTGGTACAACTCATATAAAAAGTAAAAAGTAAAATATAAAAAGTATTGACTGTCCGTCAGGTACTTCTTAACAGATACTTTGAAAGAATGTAACCTGCCAATGCCAGATAATTCAGCTGGCAAACTGTTCCACAACGAACAATGCACAAAGCAGAAGGACTTGAAACCAAAACCTAAATTTGACCTTTGGGATTGCAAATGCACCCTTGTTACTAAATCTGGTCCTGTAAGAATGGGCAGTGTCCTATGGGATGCAATATTCTTCCATATAATCTGGAGCCAGACCATTTTAAAAACATGACAAAGGATAATCTGATCTGTAGACACGTTTATTGACTGGTAACCAGTTGAGTGAGCAATATGTGACCTGGCATCAAGACATCAGCTTATTCTGAGTTACTTCACCTTTATTTCTTAAGAACTGGGCAGGCCAGGATACCATATTGAACAGCAGTAATCAAAATGACAGTGGATTAAGGACATAACTTAGTATGTTGAGTAAGGTAATCCTTTTTGCGATATAAATATTTCAAAAGTGCATTAGCCTTCTGCAACACTGCCGTAGCCATAGCGTCAAAACAGTATGATTCATCAATGGTTGCTCCGATATATTTCAACGAAGAAGTTGGTTTCGGAATTCTTTACATATTTTAGCGTCAAAATGTGTGTCAAACAATAGCTAGTGAAGAGAAAAGGGGACGAAGTAATACAACTGAGTTTTCATGTGTAAACATGTGCAATTTTACCATTATGCACATGTATTCTAGGGATAATGATTTGGACCTTTGCTAAACTATTTTTTCCCCATGTCAGGTGACTACAATGTTTATATGGTTGTCACTGTCCCAATAAACTGTAACATGCATACTAACTATTTTCATTCTTCTTCTTTTTTCTTCTTTGGGAATGGCAAGCAGTTCTTATGTAAATATGTGGACGTGTTAGAAATGTGATAGATAGGCCTCCTAGAAGCTACTCAATTAACACTTACTAGTACTAGTAATGTATTATCTTACTAATAAAAAAATTGGGAAACAAAAGGTTTGACTGAGTGAAGGTTACATTTTAAAAAATCTGAGATATTTTTGTGCTTTACTTGTAGTTTACAATGTATTTGTTACTTTTTGAAGTGGTCTTTCAGCATCTATATGCCAGTTGTTGTTTTTGTTGTTTTTTGTTGGTCTCATAAAGCAGCTAAATTACCAATCAAATTCAAACGCAACTATCGGCGATAAAAGCAGTTGAAATAGAAATCAAATGATGAAATGCATCATTTAAAACGTTACTTCATGAATTTTTGTGCGACCAAAATTGCCAGTTTGCTATAACTTTTTGTTTTATCACAATAAACTTCCAAGGTAATTCCCCAAGTCGATCAGTTATGTAGTGAACAAAGTTTGAAGGGATAAAAGACGGGAAATGTCCATGCCCATGGAGATTAATTAGTGTATGTATATCGATCTGTGCCATGCCCAAACTTTCATTCCAGTTCATTAATGCAAATGTTAGCTAGTTCTGATAATTTATAAATTGTAAGTTTGTAACTATGCACTCTTCTAAAATTATCAACGTCAAACTCATATAATTTGAGAACGTTAAGAAAACTGAACACATTGAGTATGTTTTCATATAAAAGCAAATCACTAAACATCATTGTTGTTACTTATAACTACAGTGTAACACTGTTATAGCGAACTCGTCGGGACTTTTGACATTTTGCACACATTATCCATAGTAGCTTAAGGTCTTCAGCGTACCCGTTTATATATATGACATGACGTGAACGCTGAAGATAACCCCGTAGGGAAAGTCCACCAATAATCGTGCCAGGAATCTGACACGCTCGTATTTATTTATCGAACATGCCACGAAGTAAAGTGAAGCATACCTTGATAAAACGATATATAATCTGTTGATAAGCCAAGGATGGACAAATAAAAATCTTATTAGGAATATAAACTACCTAATAGTTTCCGACAGGTAAAAATTTCGGCACTTGGCCGCCATATTGCCAAAATGTTTGACCACGTGATTACGAGATTGACCTTTATGAACCCATGTGCCTCCAATATTTTTATAGATTACTTTTTTTTAAGATGTTGAATATTATTTACTGACTGTTATATTCAATAAAATCATATTTAAATACTAAAAAATTTATGAAAATAAAAAAAAACATTATCTTGAATAAAAATATCGAAATCATGTCAACAAAATGTTCTAAATATAGTACACAACTCTATTCAAATCTGTTCCCGCGAATGACGTCATACGAGATCTCGCGTGACACTTGAATGTCATGGCCGACTGTAGTCGGCGAAAATTGATGTTTTACAGTTAAATAGGCAATTTTAATGACGGTATTAATATTTTATTACTTGAATTGGTATAGAACGATATTTAAATAATTGTTTTACCGTAAAATGCACAAGAATTGATCGGGTCAAGTGTATTTGCAAGTGAAAAACAAGAATAAATCAACTTAGGTTATTCTGGTTAGGTTTCGTAACGGGTCTAATCCAAAACTTTAATGCCGCATCTGATGAAAAACAAAAATGTTAAAAAGCGGCTTATAAAGTTTTGGAAGCCAGAACTATATCCATAGTTTCTTAAAAACCAGTATAAGGAATAAAAAAATCCTGGGAACGGCTTAATGTAATATTGCTAGAACTTGTTGCCCAACCTATTTGCTTTGTTTAATTGTTCTATTTTGCGTTTATAAGATATGGTTATTAAACTAAAAAATTTATTAACGGCAAATATATAGCAAACAAAATAACAAACAGCTTACACGCACAAAGATTTAAAAGCAGTTATATTTATTTATTCTTGTTATAACCTTATTGTGTAATAAATACAGTAATAAGAAGGAAAAACAAGACATGTCCACGGGCAGAATGTCGAGCCCGCTCGTCTTAATTTAAACCTGTACCTGTAAGCTTCAGATCAAGAAGAAAGGTGTATACATAGGTACACATCCTCTATATAAAAAGGCAAAATCTTGACATTGCATTATCTTAGGTGACCTTGCCCTCTGACCAGTGACCTGGTTCATGTGCATGACACGAAGTCTTATGATGAACTTTTGTGCCTAAAAAACTCAATTCATTTATTTGAAAAAGCCTCCTTGTACAAAGAAGTTTTGGCATGGACAAGTTAATTTGGATGGATGCACGCACGCACAAACAAACACTGAACAGCCATTTTGACAATTATGTCGAACCCAGCGCAAGCAAACTTGACAAAACATCTCTGACCACTAAGCGTAATACTTCAAAGCATAAGCAAGATACAATGCTGATAACCAAATTTGAAATAACAACTCTTGTGACCTTAACCTTCATTTTTACGCAAATCCATCCATGTATATAGAAGTTATACTCACAAATAAATGTTTTAATTTGTTACTTGACCTATGACCTTAATGTAAGACCTTGACCTTTGCCACAGTCACCTGAATTTTTCATTTCTGAAGAGAATCCGCCTCACTATGAAGAACATTTGTCATAAGTTATATTAAAATCCCGGCACGCTCCGGACACGGGTTTTGGGCCGACCACATCCACCGTCTGAAAGTGTGGCCTTGACCTTTGAGCGGCGGTCCTGGGTTTGTACCAAATTATTCTGTAATCCTTTAAAGCTTAAGCAAAAGAAAAAACAAACAAATTTAAATATTTTCATTTAACCTTTGACCTCTTGTGACCTTGATCCTCATTTTCCGCGAAAAAAAAAACAACTCAATTCAACGTGGAGATAACTTGTGCTAGATTATATTAAAATCCATCCATGTATATAGAAGTTATACTCGCATGTTTTTTTTATTTTGTAATTTGACCTTTGATCCCTACCTGTGACCTTGACCTTTATCACACACACCTGAATTTTATTGAGCGATACTCCCCTTCACTATGTTATATTAAAATCCCTCCATGCAAGTGGTTGTGGTAAAGCTCCGGACACGGTTTTTGCGCTGACCCCCAAGTGTGACCTTGTTCTTTGACCTGGGTTATGTGTGCGACACACCACCAAAACATTGTGAATATTTGTACCAAATTATTTTGTAATCCTTCAAAGAATGAGCAAGATACAAAGTCAACAAATTTTAATATTTTTATTTGACCTTTGACCTCTCGTGACCTTGACGTCCATTTTGCGACCTCTCGTGACCTTGGCGTCCATTTTGCGCTCAACATGGAGAGCATTAATTTTGTGCTAGGTTGTATTGAAATCCATCCATGTATATAGATGTTATACCCGCAAATGAATGTTTTATTTTGTTATTTGACCTTTCAGCTCTAAATGCGACCTTGACATTTACCACAGACATCTGATTTTTTTGCGCGCACATACACTAACTATACGCCAAAAGTGACGACTAGGTCGAGCTCACTGCATTAATGTGCAACGTAGAAGCTATTATAGACGTGACGTTAAAATAAATGTTTCAATAAACATGAAGACAGATTGGCAGATTTTTTTTCATATTGAAAGAAATTGTAAAATGCCGAAAAACTATAAGAGTTAATATTGGTCGTTTAGTAACTTGTATGAATTGAACAAAGAAATATAAACAGAACAATCAACATCGAAACAGTTTTGGCAGATAAGATCACAGTAACCCTGTCCTTTGCCCAAAAAAAGGGGTCATCTGCAGCGTAAGACAAACGCACCTATGACATTTGAGAGCGGGGCCAATGGGTTGTCGAGTTATTGGTTGGAAACCGTTTCAGCATACAAAATCAACGTGACCTTGACCTTTAAATCCGCAACCCCAAAATGAAAAGTGGTAATCTACTGCCAAACAACAATGCTCCTATGAAGTTGAACGGCAAGGGCCCATTGGTTGTCCAGTTATTGGTCAAAAACCGTTTTGACCTTGACGTTGGACAATGTGACCCCAGGAGCAATAGGGGTCATCAACTGAGTAAAACAATGCACCTATTCAGTTTGAGGACCATGACCCATGGGTTGTCAAGTTATTTGTCGGAAATTGTTTTGATATACAAGGTCAATGTAACCTTGACCTTTGAGACCTCGACCCCAAATTCAAAAAAGATCATTTACTGCCAAAGACCAATGCTCCTAAAAAGTTTAAGGGTCAATGGCCCATGGGTTATCGAGTAATTGGTCGGAAACCAGTTTGGCATACAAGGTCAATGTGAACTTTGAGCCCTCGAACCAAAACTCCAATGGCGTCATCTACTTCCCAAGACCAATGCTTCTATGAAGTTTGAGGGTCAATGACACGATATATAGAATAAACTTAATAAAAAATCCCGGCATAAGACCGAAATACCGTATGGGAAGACTAACAGAAAAGGGCCGAGAAGTTGCAAGTGTATTCAATATTTCATGAAAAGATAAAATCATCTGCAAAATAAAACCTTCAAAAACGTTCATGCCATTGCACGGGCAACATATCCTTAGAGTAAAGTATACGACTACAATAGAACGAACTAAAAGTACTGAACGATCTCCAAGAAGTTTATTTAAACAACTAAATTACAGTCGACAGTTCTAAGAGAAAATTTATTCAATCTTATGTACGTACAGCACATCGACATCCACCAATACATAAATATATTTATGGCATCAAGGACTATAAGAATCTTACACCGGCTGCCGGTACAGACCGGAATATCTAGCTCGAGGGTAACTGTTTACAGCGGTAACGAGGCTCTGTCGAGTTTCTGCTAAACAGTTACCCGAGAGCTAGATATTCCCGTCTGTACCGACAGCCGGTGTTTGATTCTTTTTCTTGCATATTACTTGTCAATTATTTTCGGAACAGAAATTATGAAAACTGATATTCTCATTACGCACTTTTTTCTTATAGTAGCGTATGAACATACAACTTCATTCATAACGGAAAAATGACGTCATCTTAAGAACGCGATTCAGTCATAAAAGGCGCGCATCAATGACGTCATTTAAAGCACGCGACTTGTCTTACATGGGGTGTGTAAGACAGAGTTTTCTAGCACCGGTGTAAACGGTAGATAATCCTGTCTGAGATGCAAGAAATAGTTATATTAGCATGATTATATACAAGTTACACAATTTAAGGCAGTGTTACAAAAGTTGAAATTTCACTTTTTTTATTGAATCGATAAACTAAAATGTTACTGATAGTGCTCTTCTCAAATAAATGCAATACAGGTGTAGTTCTTCCTAGAACGCGGCATTTAAATATTCTTGTCGTTTACGAAAATCATGTTTTATGTACACTGAAACTTTATATATTGCAATGGTTTACTTTCAGTTTTCAATAGTTAAACTTGGTCTAACCCGGTAATACCTAGGGATATACCTAATAGTAATGTATTATAAAATCTACTTTCCATGAAAATGATATTCAACTTCTATTGTACTTTATTCGCATAATTCACACGGTCTATTTTGTCATAACCGCCTTTGGGGCATAAAATCTTATTTAATAAGTTTTAATAAATAGCCGTCAACATGATCAAACCATCAAAAAAAGAAATTGAAAAAAAAATGTGATTAAAGGAATTCAAAAAGGTGGGTGTGCAGTTTCATTAAGGCAATGTTTAAGGATTTGTTTACCAGGTACGTATATTAAAATTCATCTACATGCCTTAATGTACTGAGAACTCAATAGGTAAAGCGCTGGACAGTGATTCGGGCGACTCGTGTTCGACTCGTCTATAATAGACGTTGAAATATGAAGTTTTTTCAAAACGGCTTATATTAAGGTTATTTTACATATATGATCAGTACATGTGCTGAGATTGACAAATATACATTTTATTTGGATTTTAAAGGCGTATTCTACACTAGCGTAGGTTCGATGTTTTTAATAAATCCAAGTAAAAATGGTCTTAAAACAATAATAATAATTTTTTTTATACCTGTTGTAAATTCAATAAATATAAAATAAAATTAAATAACAATATATACACAATCGCCGCGGAATAAGAAATACAATTAAAATTAATAAATAACTTGATCTTAAAAATATGACTAATTACTATGAATATTGAATTATTTATTATTTATTTCATGTAAGAAGAAGAAAATAACGCTTGGCAAATTTCATCATAAATCACATTTTTAAACGCGAGAACTCCGGCGGCAGTTTTTAACAAATGCACGGCAGCACTAGCTTCTATACAGTTATTACATAACTTTTTAGGCGCAATGTCAGACAGTAAGGAAGATTTATATAAAGTACGGCATATATATTATGCCCCAGCTCTAATGCAATGAACAATGATTTTTAATACACATTAATAAAGCGCACATTGAAAATATGTCATGCCGACACGCGCGTAACCTAGCTTGTTTCCATTCAATTCTGAGACAGCCGTAATCAGAGAAATGTAAATATTATTGAAGATTCATACTATAGTCTATTTCATATTATGTGGAAGATAGACACTATTAATTTCCTATGACGTGCCATACAACTTCAAATACAAACTAAGAAATATAAAAGTAACACAATAAAGTATTATTTGCAAAACAAATACGAACACAGTATCTTTTGCAGTGATGAAACTGTAATAAACATTTTATATTTGAAATAAACTTTAGACACTGACTTGTGCATTGTGGGTAAACTCTTGATGTAAACAGCGAGGTACGAGGTGAATGTTTTCTTTTTGGGCTGCCATTTTGGTAGTGCTTTTCGACCTCGTGATGTCTGTACAACAACCTTCAGAGAATGATGTCTGGGCTTTGCTCTCGCTCAAGTCAGCGCCAGCAAGTCCCTCAAAGATTCAGTGGGCTCCAGAACCTCGTGGAACATCTATAGCGCGATTGGAAGGAAGAGATTTTAAGTTTGATATGCGCAAAACACGCGTTACGATCGGCCGCAACAGCAGCAAGGGCGAAGTTGATGTGAACATGGGACATTCTAGTTTCATTTCTAGAGTTCATTTAGAAATAACATTTGAGCATCCTAATTTTTTCATGAAGTGTAATGGCAAGAATGGAGTTTTTATTGACGGTATATTCCAGCGTAAGGGAGCACCGCCTTTGCAACTTCCAAGATCGTAAGTGGTCTAGTTTGCAGACAAAAACATCCAAACGCCGCGATTTATTCTTATGTTTATGTTTCTTCTACATCATAAATTATTGTCATTGTTCGTGCATATGATTTAATGTTTTCTTCAACATGTTTGAATTAGTACAAAGCTCATTTCTTGACATTGTTTACATTCTGAATTTGTCAAGGAAGTTTATGTTACCATGTGGTCGATCCAAGATGGCGGCCATTGTAAACAAAAAATGAAGTTGTTTGTTGACATAAATATTAGTTATTTAAAAATGCTTTTAAATGCATGTAATATGTAAGATGTGTGCATGCATTTTTTTAGAAAATAAGTTAGAGCATTTTACTGTTTTAGGAGTATTTTATTTGCCAGTTGCTTCAAAAAATCTATCTAAACTTTGAGACATAAGCAAACCGGTTTTAAAGTACTGCTAGACCCAATACACTGATTTACAGTTTCCAAACTAGCAGACAACAGGCTATTTCTAGCAGTAGAATTGTGAGTAAAGATAACTGGTTGCGTAGCTCAATGCATAAAACATATGTAAAGTGGTCTGACATTTGGTAGGTTTAACCATAAATTTAAATACATTTAGTGTCAAACAATGTGTTGAAATATAATTATATATACTGAGACTAAGCTAAGATCACAAAATTTCATTGGTGTAATAAGTTTTTAAATTGGACATTAAATCACCCCAAACTAACGCAGAGCTCCAGATAATTTTTTTTGGCCGAGGGGTTTTTACCCCTCAAAATCTAGAGTGAAGGGTAAAATGCAAATTCTGAAAAACTTAAGGGGTAAAATTTGTCAAAAAAAGCATTTTTTTCTATAAACAAATTAAACTTATTGTTTTTGTTTGTTTCTTTGTTTTTTTTTCTTTTTTTTAGAAAAAAACTTTTACAAATAAAATACTGATTCAATGTGAAACAATACAAAACATGCTCTGTAAATTCAGACTTCTAGAGTATTCTGGAACTCAAGTTTAGGATACACAGCAAAATTGTCAGGGCTTATTTTCAAAATTTGGAAGTCAGACTTCAAAATCTCTGAAAATGGAAGTCACATTTTATAGGTAAAGAAGGAAAAGTATTAGATTTTGGAAGTCACAAGCCAAAATGAAGGAGTAAATGACTCCCAACTTCCATATGTGGAAGCCCTGAAATTTTTTTATATTCTAGGAGTCAATAATTTTCTTTCTTCATGGGTTGGCATGTACCTTATCATGTACTCCAGTTTATATTGAGGCATAAACGTGTTAATAGATGCCTAAACAAACTTAATACTATGTTTACTCCTACAATTATGATTATCTGGCACAAATTTTATCAATAATTTCACAGGTTGATCTACGAGAGTTACCTCCCTTCTGTACTTCCTACTACTTTCGTTTTTTAAATGTTGTTGACAACAGAATTTTTAGTTTTCAAAGCAATAAAATAGAAATATATTGATTTTTATGCTCAAACATCCTATTTCTAAATATCAAATGTTTACACTTATATTGTTTCACGCTTAAATTTTGACATACAAGCGTATTTTCATTGTGTTGTGCGTAACTTTGAGGCACTGATTTTGAAATTGTTGCTTAATTTAGATTTTCTATACGTATTTAACGCTGATACGCATGCTATCTGGAGCTCTGCTTATGGTTAAAAACAGCTATATTTGCCAGGGTTCTCACTAGGACTTTAAAACATGGAGTCCATGGACTCCCAACCCTGAAAAAGTTGGAGTCCAAAAGCGCGTCGCAACTAATATATGTTTACAGATTAGTCATATAATGCTCACAATAGTATTGCTGATATTTTGAACCTTCAAGAAACTTCCAAAGTTTATAGTTATTCAAAAGAAACTCTGAACTACAGAGTAAAATTATTGTTTTGCTGTTAATATTTATTATGAAATTATTTCATTATAATGCATCAACACATGGAAATCTTTTTTTGTTTTTGTTTTTTCACTTTTATACTAAATCAAATTTTATTCTGGTTAAATAAGTCCACTCTAAAGACAAAAAGTTTATACTTGTAAAAAAAACGTAAATGTATACAGGCAGCGTATAGCGGAATGAATAGGAAAATCGTGTACAGCTTCACACAGTGTGTAAGAGATTCATCCGATCGACAATTATTTTAGCAAATATCTTCAAAAGGGGGCAAATTGAAGATCGATATTTAAAGATTTAATGTTGATTAAATAATTAAGGGACAATTCTTTCGCATGTTTGGCTTGGAAACGGAGAATTTTTGCGAAATTTTAGGGTTTCTGACGAACGTGAAATCACCGATTGCGGGATATAATCTAAATATCAAAGAAAAGTGTATGTGTATTTTGGTTTGTTGTCCTGGAACTTCGGCACAATATCTTAAATTCTTAATAATCTTATAGAAAGTTTTTGCAAGAATGAAACGTAAGCAAAATTGTGCCTAGAAAATGCCGAAAATATTCGACAATCATTCAAAATTACACTCATTTGTAATTTGAGAAAACAGTCTTTAAACTTGCGGCGTAAATAGTCGATAATTTTATCCTTTTGTCGGTAAAATTTGTTAATTTCCAATCAACTGTTGATCAAAGATATAAAACTATCACCTCATGTTATATCTGGTAATTACATGTACTATGCAGCGCGTGTATACATTAGTCTGATCAATTAGCGTGATAATGATCGGAAGCCTTATCGCTGATTGGCTAATCGCTTCACGGGTCGATGTGCATAGGACCGCCTATCTATAGACTGACACGCGCCGACGCATTTGTGTATTTGTGGTTGTAAACAATCGGTAATGTTTATGCGTCCCCAAGCAAAATAAGCGTACGTGGAATCCTTGCTCTGAAATATTTGCGTCCAGCTATAATAAACATGCGTACCGGGACGCCAAAATAAGCGTCCCCGAGAACCCTGATTTGCATTAATTTAGCATTAGAGATATGGATTTTACTCGAAGTTAAGGGAAACAACTCATACTTTTTAACTCGATATACCTCCGTTATTTACGTAGTTCATATAAAAACTGTCAATGGGTGTATACATCGAAAGTCAACCAGAATTGTGACATCAGGGCCAAAAAAAACCTTCTTTAAAGAGGCCGAATATTGGCTGCTTCCCCAACCAAACTAGCCTCTTTTTTTCCCCAGTTTGGTCCTCAAAATTCCCCAGTCTTTTGAAATTTCCCATATAATTTAGAACAAAATTAAAGGATAGTGTTGAATTAAGGCATACATGCCATAACGTACCGGATGCCCGGGATTGTCCCGGAAATCGGATGTCTGTCTCGGAGATGTCCCAGGCATCAATTTGATCCCGAAAAAAAATTTTTTTTGCAAAATTTTCATAAATTTTCTTAAATCAAACCTCGCACATTTCACCTCTCGATCGTAAAATATATTCTGACCTGGTACACATAATACACAGGCACGTTGACACAAGTTTACAATATACAGCCCCCCAATTATCGACTATCGATTCCCCTCGGCAATAGCTTTCTTCATGCATCGGCAATTAACGTTCTCTGTTGAATTCAGCAGCGTTTAATGGTCGGGTCAATTAATGGTTTACAGCCCATAACAATTATCTTTAATCCCCGATAATCATTAATTTTTAGATCAATCGCTTACTTGCAGAAAGTCTAATTATTACAAACAATGTAAATATATCCATCAAATTAAAAAATTAAAGGTGTCAAATAAATTAACTTGCTGTGTTTGTTTTGATGACTGGAAAAATTGCGTTACGTGACATGTAGTAATTATCACTTCTTTAAGATATAACGGGTGAACAACATGGCTGCGCCCATTCACCGGGTTTATAACTTACAACTTACTTGCTTTTAGGGAATAATGAATGAAATAAAGAAATACTATAAAATGATAATGATGTCGCCCTAAAAGACTACTTCTAAAACTAGTAAGTTAACTGTTTATCATTAGAATTCAGGAGAAAGTCGTCCTAATTTAATAACGTTATACGATTGACACACCCCCTTCCCCCTTTTCCACAACTGCCTCCACATCCATTATTGCTGCGATGAAAAGTGTCCTGGAAAGCTGTCCAAAAATTATGGCATGTATGATAAAGGTCTTTTACTGCCTTATTAGTATTTCCCAGCGGTTTTTGCCCTTCTAATTTGAAGAAAGTTTGTGTTAAATTTGAGACCCCTTTTCCCAAAGAATGACAAAATCACATATATTTTCCCCGAGAAAAAGGCTGAGACCCATTCCCCAAAAATGGTGTTTTGACCCTGGACATGCTGTTTCTGCTGTAATTCAATAAATTTGTGTTATCTGGACAAATACAGGTAGTTAGGTATATTTTGTGAACTTCAGTCTTATTTTTGAACAAAGGTTATATTGAGGAATTAATGCCTCAAAGTTTATCAGTGCATTTACATCAGTCTACGACTTAACCCACTCGACCGACAACCGAGTCGAGTAAATTTGCGAGTGGTCGAGTGAAAATTCCAAGCTGGTAGCCCTTCTGGTCGAGGGCTTTTTTCGTATCCAAATTAAGAAAATGTCAGAAATATGCAGAGCTCCAGATAGCAATGTTTTGGCTTTATGAAAATACAATATATTTCTGCTGAATTGGATGGAAAACTAAAAGTACTATTGTCAACACTGCTGTAAGTTGAAAACGAAAGTAGCAGGAAGTGACATCGAGTACAAAGGGAAGGTTACTCTTGGGAGTTTCTGAAATGAAATTATTGATAAAGTTAAATTTGGCGTAATCACTGTAGGACTTAACCTAATATTCAATTTGTTTAGACATATATTATAATGTTTTTGCTACAAAATAAAGAAAAATGTTGTACTTTCTGCCCCTTTAGTTATTGGAAAACATATTTCTCCCTTGCCATCTGCAGTTTTGTACCCAATATTTTGTACCAAGTTTACAGTAATGGACAATTTCCTCAAAGACTATTACTTTTGTATAAAAGGTTTAAATCTGTTATATTTATTTTTCTTTATTCTAATTTCAATTATAAATAATCAAAACCAAAGAACAGGCACTAAAATGTAGAAATAGAGTATGTATGCTGACCATAGCTGATTGTAAAAGAATGTGACACATTTAAACAACATGTCCGCAACAAAAAAAATGAGTCTTGTCATTAATTTGCTGTGTATCCTAAACAAACCCTAGTCTAGGGAAGCCTGCCATAACGGAGCAAGTTTTGTATTATTTCACATTGAATCGATATTTTATTATAAGTCAGTCTGATTTATGTAAAAAAAAAAGGAACTTTTTAGAAGGCAATGAAAATTGATAATAAAACAATGCAAATTCTTTTTATAAATTTTACCCCAGAATTTTCATTTTATTTTGACGGGTAAACCACCTTGGCCTGCAGCTCTATTGCACTTAAATCGCTTATGAAATATTATTGATTGTTAGACATTTATTAGGCATCATCTCATGTTCACAATATGTCTTTTCTCTTGTATTTTGAAGGCACTAAGTCAAAAAGGAACACTCCAAAAAAGTAAAAAATATGATAAAAGTAATACGAAAAGGAATATAAATATGTTGTCAATGCATGAATCAGCCAACATGGTTACTAAACAATGAGGAGAAGGGTATTTTCAGTTTTTAAACAATTTTTTTCAGTGTCTGTGGACAATGCCACAGAAGTATCAAAATATCTTCTTTTCATATGTAGTTTAACTCTTCTTATTTAAATAATGAAAGGAAGAAAAGTTGATATTTTAATAATGTTAAATGGTATATAAAACATATAGAAAGTGTTATTTCTGTACAAAATGTATGTAAAAAATACCATTTTGGTTCGGGCTAGTTAAAATTTGTTCGGGCTAGTGAAATTTGTAAGCTGCTAGCCCGACTGGGCTAGTGCATTCAAATAAAATAAGGCAAATACTGTTATATTTCACAAAATTGATTTATTCACCGCCATTGCTACCCAAATCATCATGTGACTTGTGAGAATTTAGGTTTGGATACCTTTGCATTACATTTGATGACCTGTGACTTAAATGCTATTTTTAATTGAAAACATGACACTAACAGTGTATTTATTCATTAACAGACATTGCACCAAAAAACATGTTGGATTCATATTGTTTTGAGTGATGATTCATGGATTATTATTTTTTTGTATTTATTTAAAATCATACAGTTCTAAAAAAATGTGTGGTCAGTTTCTAATAATAGATGCTACATTCCCAAAACTTGAAGTCCTACAAGATTTCTTTTGAAAGCGGACTCCATACTACAGTGGTAGACAATCTCTAAATGTTTCACTGACAAATAGTTGGGTACACAATGTCATTGAAGTTTCATTTATAAAAAAAAGAAAAAAAGAACATGAATTAATTCTAAATTGATGTGTTTACCAGTGGTATTTTTTATTTGACCCAAATTGGACAAATAAGGGTGATTTTAATAGTTATTTATGTGCTGCACATAAGCTGCCAAAATTCTGGTAGCCTTTTGCAAATAGGGTTGACCAATGTCAAAATAAAAGTGACATAAATTTATGGAAACCAGAAACCGGAAACTACTATAAACCTTCAAAGTTACAATATTATGCATTTAAATTATTTAGTTTCTGATTGTGTTTTTTCATGGCCGCTAATATAAACCCATTCATACAATATTGCTTTTCAAGAATATTAGTAATTGTGTTTTGTTGGAGAAAGTTATTAAGATTGTACTTTGGTTAAAATAAATGTAACACATCTAGTTTAGCAGACCCTAGAAGGTAACTAATAGTAATACAGACACACTTAACACCCCTGCTTGGACAATCTTATTTTCAAAACTACAACAAAATTCGGAATAACACTAAGAGAACAGAGGAAAAGCATTGTATCAAACACTCATGCACACTGGATCCACTAGATTCAGGCTAAATAAATAATCTAGAATAGATGTAAATTATGATAATTGCAGAGGGCCAGATAAAAAGTGCATCAATCATTCTGTGTACTTGACACAAGCTAATAGGAGCATAGCATATTATAATTTAGGAGTTAAAACACAAATTTACATTTACACTTAAATGCTTAAATTTTACATCAGTCTTCTTTCGGCTACAACAGAATCAAATTTTCGTAGCCTTTTTTCTTAGCATTTGTTTACAAGTGAACATAAATTGTGATTTTATCAACTTTGTTCTAAAAATCCTTTATTTATGTTGGCATGTTTGTTAGACGTTGACAATGACAGAAACAGTAAGAAACAACAAAATTTGACAGCAATTTGTAACCAAAATCCAAATATTAAAGGAATTATATTCACTGTGTTCACAGAATAAAATCCCCCCAAAAAATTAAGTTTCAGTCCAGAAAATTGTTCTACTAAGAAAAGATAATCCGGGATAATTGGAAACATATGCATGTAGTGCAGGACAAAACTATTATACTTCAACATGCTGAATAAGTTGTTTAAAATAATCTTGAAAATTTCTTTTTTGTGAGTATACACATTGATTTAAATATTTATGAGGGGTGAAAAGTCCTTTTGCAAAAATATTGACTGTACAGAGTAGTAATAAATATATACCGTGACAACTTTACAATATTTACAACAGAATTATGATATATACAAAAATAATATACATAATAAATGATGCAGTGATAATTTTATCACCCCACCCCTTCCTGATTGCACTTTAATACATTTTTGACTTGTTGTCCTATTCATTATATTAATGTTTAAAACAAGTCTTCATATTTTTTGTAGAAAAACATAGAAAGTATATTGTATAGGGATAGTTTCCATTTCACCAATAACCACTGTTGTGTATGTAAAGCGTCAATACCTCACAAATCTAATCGTTAAATAAGGTGCTGTAGCTGGGCATTGTACTTGGGTTCTTTAAGATGTGTAGTCGTTCATTATTACCCAAACTTTTAATAATATGAATTTTTTAAACTTAATTCCTGTATAATTCCAGACAGGCTCACACTGGAAAATTTAGATCAAAACCCTATTAGGCTAATGAGATGATGCAAAGGTAGCTAAATCAAGCTGCTAAGCAACTTTTGAAATTCATCTAAATAGGCTATCTGGTTCAAAATTTTAAAGCAGGTTGTTAAAAAAAATAAAGATTGTTAAAAAAACACTTTTTACTGATCAAATTGTTTAGTTTATTACTGTGTAATTATTTTCAGATGTGTATTGCGTTTTCCCAGCACAAACATCAAAATCAGTTTTCAGTCATTGGTAGAAGAAGATGCCACTCAGCCAAGTAATCCCCCACCTCCACCAGCAAGTCCGCCAAAGAAAAAAGTACTCCCACCATTGAAGATAAATATCCCAGAACCTAATAGTAGTATGCAGAATAGTCCATGTCCTTCACCAACAGGAACAATTAGGTAAACAATTCTTTGATGTTATCATTTAGTGTTCAGTATGTTAAACTGCATTTTATCCAGAATTAGGTGAACATATAAAACAAAACAACTGGCTCACTTTGCCATTAGCCATTTTTCTTGATTTGGCTACAGAAATTATAATTTAGCTAAGGGATATCTCATTCATGTTAGGCTATGCTGCCATTTAATGCTGTTAATTCTATCAGTACCACATAATGGAATCTTGTTACAGTCTTGTACAATGAAAATCAATTTCTTTAAGGGTGGGCAACTCCTTTACTGCCGAATTTCATCTTACCAAACAATGTTAATTGCATAATTAAACAGTGTTAAACATCTTAGATTATCCGATAATATGTGTTATATGGTACCAAATTTCTGTTTCTTTCATCTTCCAAAAAAAAAATCATTGACACACTGTCCAGTTGCTTTTATTTAGAGTACAACTTAGAACAGTAAATCATCCTTGATCATTTTGTTTTATGCTTTCATATCCAGGAATTATTTGCTCATGGTTTTGTAGATTTTTAAAATGTTATAGATGGCTTTTATGTTAAAATTGATATATTTTCAGTGCTGCAAATTCTTGCCCAACAAGTCCACGCGCTGGCTCAGCCCATCGTTTAATTGGTATGTCAGACATACAGATGGCAGCATTGACAGCAGCTGCTCAGCATCATAGACAGGAAGCAGAAAAAGCAGCGGAAAATTCAAGTATTGTTCAGACACCACCTTCAGCTACTTCAGAAGTCAGTGTTAGAGATGAATCAAAACCGCCATATTCTTATGCACAATTAATAGTCCAGGCAATAACATCAGCTGTAGATAGACAATTGACATTAAGTGGAATTTATGCGTATATCACTAAAAATTATCCTTATTATAGAAATGCTGATAAGGGCTGGCAGGTATGTAACAACTTGATATGTTTACTCTTTTAAATGTGATTGTTGAAGTGGCATTATGCTTATTTGTTCATTGTCAAATAGAGTTGAAAACCCTATTGATTGACAAGATCTTGGAAAATGTTTAGAAAAAATATAAATCTGCCTAGAATATAAAAAGACTGCCCCACCCCTTTACATAATTGAATATTACAAGTAAATTCTAATGTAAATTTACAGAAATTTCAGTTGGCAAGGTGAATTATATATCAGTCATACAAAGTAAATTATAAAATTTAAAGGAATAATTTCAAAATGTCCACATTTTTTACTTTCACCTGTTCACTTATTAAATACCCTTAGATGGGCATAATGTCATTTTAATAAAAAAGATGAGAAAAATTATTTTTGCAGAATATTTATCAGTTTTGTTAACAGACTTTCAGTCAAATACTTTATTAACCATTTACTTTACAAAGAGTAACAAATAAATATCATTTAGGAAATACTTGCCTTTATTTTTGCTTTATTTTACTGGTTTTTATAGCTGTCAGACAGTTTTTGATCAGTAGGAAAACATTTTGTATTTAATTGATTAAGCTCGGCTTTTTTAATTGGGAAAAATTATTTGAAGTGACAAATATGTACAAATAAAGATAAAACTGGGCTTCCTTTAGTGGATGTTTGGGAGTCATTTACTCCTGATTTTGACTAGTGACTTCCAAAATTTAATGCTTTTCCTTCTATACCTATATAAATTATAATGTGACTACCAGTTAAGGCTCCCACGTTTACATGATTGTTAAGAACCGAAACAATAAATTGTGGTACTTCTTTGTACTATACTAGATCATGTAGTTGTCACCAAATGATGAGTTACTTTCTATTTTTAATACATGTACAAATAGTGTTCAGGGCTTATCACGATTGAGTCTGCACATATTTTCTGCATTGTATCCCCATTTCACACTTTTGAAAGATCAAAGGAAAATCAACTTTACCAAAAATGTATTATGTCAGGAGCGATTATTGCACAGTGATGCTGTGTGGAGGTTGGTAAACACCGTTTTTACTTTGGAATAAACCAATTAGAATTGATTAAATCCTTGATAACAGACAATGATTAAGATATTTAGTAAGACAATAATTATGGTCATTTCGATTAAACGGTAAAAGAGATCGTACACGTTTACAAATGAAAATCAAAACGAATTCGTTTAAACGTGTAACCGTGGGAGCCTTACCTCCGGTGTCAGACATTTTGCAGTCTTTGACGTTTTTGGTAACTTTGATATTAAAATACCAGGGCTCATCCTGCTAGGAAATTTTAGGGAGAAATAACTGCTTCATATAATTTTATTGAGACCAACCATTAAGCAACATCTGTACAACTTCAAATTTATAGTGATATATTTTCATTTTAAACATTCTAAAGTCATTTAGTACATGAATACAGTTTGCATCATTATCATATGAGGATTATATTTAATTTAAGTTTATGTTAACACAGTTATGAATTCTTGGTTTATCTGTTTAACTAACTGAACATTGGAAGAAAATGGCAAAATACACCATGATAACTTAACATTGTTTTTTTGTTTTTTTACAGAACTCAATTCGTCACAACTTGTCATTGAATAGATATTTTGTAAAAGTGGCTAGGTCACAGGAAGAGCCTGGGAAAGGATCATTTTGGAGAATTGATCCTGCTTCAGAAGCAAAATTAACTGCACAGGCTTTCCGGAGACGAAGGCAAAGAGGGGTACCCTGTTTTAGAGCCCCATTTGGTGGTCTCTCATCAAGGTATAATAAACTTTTGTATTTACAATTATTTTAGAACCATAATATAAGCATGTGTTTAAGAGATTTTACCATTACATTTAAGGTCTTTAATTACAACAAATACAGGGGTAAAAATGTTCAGGTGTATCAAATAGATTTTGCTCCTCTACATTTGTTTATAAGGTTCAAGTTTCTTGCCTTGTATTGATTGAAATGAGCTATACTTGTGTTTTGTGGATATAGGTCTGCACCAACTTCTCCTAGTCACATGAGTGGGATGTTCACACCTGATAGTTTATCTCGAGAAGGTAGTCCAATACCTGAAGATGAGATGTCCCAGCAGATGATGATACAGCAACAGCAACAACAACAGCAGATAGCATTGTCATCTGGTGTAGCTCAGAGATCACAACCAATGCTACCTCCATCAGCAGACGAGTTGAGGTTAAATCAGTCCAATAATGCATTGCCTGCAAACAATACATTGCAAGGTTTGGTTTTAGTTATTATCAAGTATGCTGTATGATTAAAAAATATTTTTCTTCAGTTTTAGTGTAGCATGTTTGTGTAAAAGGTAATGTAATGATGATTGCTACCAAATTGTCTGATATTATCATCGCTTTTGATAAAAGGAGAAAAAGAAAAAAACAGCAAATATTGAATACAGAAGTCAAAATTCAATCATGAGATGTATATGTATACTATGACTGTACTTTTCAGGTCCTGGTGCTTTCAACCCAGTCACAATCACATCATCGGCATATAATAATAATATTAGAACAGGTGCAGCTCTTCATCAGTTACCATCGGTCATTAGTAAACCTAAGGTCATTGTCACAAATGGTACACAGGTCATGTTAAATGGACCCTCTGGTCTGACAGCACTTGCCAATGGTGCAGCACACGTAGAAGTTAAAAAAGATCCATCCTCACAAAATCCAGGTAAGCTTTTAATAAATCCTGATTTAATTTTCATTATATACAGTGTGTTGATAATGATTAACCTACTAACACCATTGTAAAGTGACCTTATTAATCATTGAACTGACACAATTGGGTTTAATGATGCATAACTTTTTAGCTCACCAGAGCCGAAGGCTCGGGGTGAGCTATTAGTATCAAAGGGGGATGCTCTGGCGTCCGTCATCATGCGTCAACAATCGTCTTCTTCTCTGAAACTACTAAGCAGATTTACTTCAAATTTGGTCTGTAGCATCCTTGTGACAGTCACACTTGAATTTGCTCATTATATTCCAATTGGCCCCTTTTAGGGGTCAGCAGAGCTAAAAATATAAAAACCTTTAAACATCTTCTACAGAACTAATTGATGGATGATCACCAAACTTTGTCTTTAGCATTCTTGGGTAGTCTTTTATCAAGTTTGCTCATATGAATTTGATTGGCCCCTTTTAGGGCCCGCTAAAGCTAAAAAAGAAAAACCTTTAAACGTCTATTTCTACAGAACTAATTGATGGGTGATCACCAAACTTTGTCTGTAGCATTCTTAGGTAGTCTTTTATCAAGTTTGCTAATATTATATTGATTGGCCCCTTTTAGGGGTCTCTAGGGCTAAAAATAGAAAAACATTTAAACATCTTCTCCTACAGAACTAATAGATGCATTTCTTCAAATTATTGTTTAAACATATTCTATGCTCAAATTTAATATTAGAATATATTGACATTCCAACACTGAAAAGCAGTTGTTTCTGGTGAGCGACTCAGGGCCATCATGGCCCTCTTTTTGTATATTTTCTTTATATTCATGTAATTGGTCAGCCACAATACGTCAGACGGAAAGCATTAGATTTTATTACCTTAGATTGTGAGAGCAAGTCCTGAAAATGAATTTTGATATACTGTGATAATAGACTGAGTTACATTATGTCATCATAATCATTATTATACATTCACTCTGATGTTTTAAATGAGTTATTGTTGTTTGTCAGAAATGTTTAATGCAAACTACTGTCAGTGCCTCAAACCTCAAAATAGTCAGAATTAAGATATGTGGAAGAAATTGAGCCGCATCATGACAAAACCAACATAATGGGTTTGCGACCAGCATGGATCCAGACCAGTCTGCGCATCCGCGCAGTCTGATCAGGATCCATGCTGTTCACTATCAGTTTCTCTACTTTTAATATGGTTTGCTAGCGAATAGCATGGATCCTGATCAGACTGCGCGGATGCGCAGGCTGGTCTGGATCCATGCTGGTCACAAACGCATTACGTTGGTTTTGTCATGACGCGGCTCAAATGGTTTTGATGATATTTGAACAACCTCATCTGTGGCGATAATTGAACCTTGAATAATCGATGTCTGTGCAAATTTAACATTATAGAGCATCAAAGGGTGTAAAGCTATAATTTGTGAAATAAAATGTATCAAAAACTGTATACAATGGTGTTAATATATTTTTAAATTCATTTGTACAAAAAAGCTAAAAAAAAAACTGACCTATCAAAATAATCACCTGCTGTTTAAGTAAGTTTTGCAAGTAATTTATGCATGGCTAATCACTATAGAAAAGATACAAACATCATTGTTTATAAAGAGAATCCAATATAGCTTTATAACCTTGAAATGGAATAATTATATTAATATGTACAAGTGACATCTTGTATACCAATCTGAAATTAAATGTACATGTAACTTGGTAGTAAGAAAATGTACTAGAAAATGTATAGCTTTACCTGCAACATTCAAACCATTCCGTGATTTTCTACTTGCATGCATATTATATGATATTGTTTCTTTTCTCAAACCAATCTTCTAATTTTGTTCATTTGCTATATATTTATGTTTCGATATGTTTCTATGATGAAAGAGAAAGCAATATCTGATTCTTATTTATTAGTCTTTTTGCTTTGATTAGTTTGTATATCATATTTGCTTATAAAGCTTGTTAAGTGCATTGGTGAATGACATAACTTTATTTTGTTGTTAGTGTATGGTATGGACCCATACAGCTACAGCCTGGGTCCAAGATTCCCACAAGGTGACTACATTTGTCTTTAACCTCTTTTGTCTTGTACATTGCTGTATAGTTTCCTTTTGACAGTATTTATTCCAACCCTAGCCAAATACTTTATTATGTGACCCAGAGATATTAGGGTGGAATTTTTTACTACATCTATATGTATTAGTTTTTTGGGGTTTTTTGTGTATATTTCACAGTATTTGTTTCCTGTGAAAGTGACATATAGTCATATACGGCTAGTGATAAATACAGCTTTAAGCTTCTATCCTATTCATTCTATCTTTATATGTAGAATTAATCTTTGCATCTTTCAAAGACTTGTGGATAATTAGATTGATATCATAAGCTACACTTCTTATTATTTGTTGATTAAGGCCCACATATTTAAAAATCAAAGCACAAGTTGTAAAAAAATTTAATGTTCATGATTTTTTGTACACTTTATAAGCATAGCAGCCTTCTTATACAGTAATACACTTAATACACCTACTGTCTGCAACACAGTGACAAACACTTGCCTGTCTCTTTTTCAATAAAGTGGTATATGTTAACACCCACCCACCCAATCAAACACAGTGTATTACTCTTTCAATACCCCTTTAAGACAGTGACATACTACATTCAACCTGTCCAACAGAGTGACATACTCTCACCCTCTCCAAGACAGTCAAATATTCCCATAACACTCCCCTCCTCCAAGATGGTGACATATTCTTACCACTCTCTCATTCTCCAACAAAGGGACACACTCCCACTGCACTCATTCTCTCCAAGACAGTGACATACACTCCCAACTATCGCCCTCTCCTTTCAAAGACAGTGACATATTCTCACAACACTAATTCTCTCCAAGACAGTGACATACACTAGCCACATTGGCCTTCACCAACAAAGTTACATACTCTCACCACATTCACCTTCTGCTAGGCAGTGACAAACTATCCGCCCATTCACCTTCCCCAAGGCAGTGACAAATTATCTGCCCATTCACCTTCCTCAAGACAGTGACAAATTATCTGCCCATTCACCTTCCCCAAGCCAGTAACAAACTATCTGCACCATTCATCTTCTTCAAGACAGTGACAAACTATCTGCACTTTCACCTTCTCCAAGCCAGTAACAAACTATCTGCACCATTCATCTTCTTCAAGACAGTGACAAACTATCTGCACTTTCACCTTCTCCAAGAAAGTGGCATACTCCCACCACACTCGATGTCTCTAACAGAGTGACATACTTTTACCACATTGACTCTAAGATAGTAACTGTCTAACAATGTCAAACTCTGACCACTCTCCCTCTCCAACCATGTGACATGCATGCATTTAAACACTCACTGTCTCAAACCAAGTGACATGTATGCTTTTACCACACTCCTCTCCAACTAAGTCACATACATTCTTGACATCTTTCTGACAAAGCTATTTCATCGTCATCATATATGATAAGGAATTGATAAATATTGAAACCAATTTGTATCTATCAGAAACTTAATAATAATTATAAAAAAAAACTAGTAAGGTGTATATGTTTGAATATCTGTAATGTAAATTGATCATTTTGGCTTCTTGGAAGGAAGTCTGTTGCAAAAGATAAAATGATACTTTATTTTTGCAAAATGTAAGTGTGTATGAAAGTCATAAAGCTATATAAGATTTAAATATAATTTCATGATCTTCATTATGTTTTTGTGTTTGGTTATATAACTTCACCGTAAGAAAGTATCTTGGGGACAAGCAAATTCCACTGCATTCTCTACATTTAATCTACTATTTATCTTACATAAAATGAACTGAAACTTGTATTTAACTTGCCTAACACATGGTATCACACTCACTCAGGTGCTCGGATACAACAAGCACTAATTATATTTGTACATGTCTGTTTTGTATGAATGATAAAGGGGTAATGGACAAATACACTAGCTACCTTATTTAAAGCCCAAGTCTGCAGGGTTGTAAGTTAGGTTGTAAGGGCTTCTGCAAATGTTAATGCAAGAAAATAGGTGCATTAGTGCTATTCTTGTATAAAAATATCTGTTCGATTCGGTTTTTCTGTGTTCGGCTATTTATTTTTCATATTCCTAGTGTTTTTAAGGCAGGAGTGGGATGTCATTTGACAGTTCTATTTTGAAAGTACAAATACTGGGGCTTTCATTGCAGATAGCTATATTTTTATAGTGCCCAGTGTTACATGTATTAAAATCAGGGCAACAAATGTGTCTACTCAGGTGATTTTATCCATTAATGCATGTATATTTCTCAGTTAATAACCTACAGAGCAGTTTTTATGCAACAACTTTGGGAAAATTTGAACCAAATTATCATAATGTGACTTCTTAATGGCTTACTTTTTACAATGACTTGTTTCATGTTTAAGGGAAAAGATACTTCATGTTCCCATGTAAGCATATATTTATGTCTCCCCCACCTCGGGGGGAGACATATTGTTTTTGCCCTGTCCGTCCGTCCGTCAGTCCGTCCGTCCGTCAGTCCGTCCGTCCGTCAGTCCGTCCGTCCGTCCATTCTTCGTTTCCGGACGATAACTAGAGTTCCTTTTGACCTACAGCCCTCAAACTTCATAGGATGATTGGTCTTATAGAGCTGATGATCCCTATTGTTTTTGGGGTCAGTAGGTCAAAGGTCAAGGTCACAGTGACCGTTGGTCAATTTCTCGTTTCCGGATGATAACTAGAGTTCCTTTTGACCTACAGCCCTCAAACTTCATAGGATGATTGGTCTTTTAGAGCAGATGATCCCTATTGTTTTTGGGGTCAGTAGGTCAAAGGTCAAGGTCACAGTGACCGTTGGTCAATTTCTCGTTTCCGGATGATAACTAGAGTTCCTTTTGACCTACAGCCCTCAAACTTCATAGGATGATTGGTCTTATAGAGCTGATGATCCCTATTGTTTTTGGGGTCAGTAGGTCAAAGGTCAAGGTCACACTGACCGTTGGTCAATTTCTCGTTTCCGGATGATAACTAGAGTTCCTTTAGACCTACAGACCTCAAACTTCATAGGATGATTGGGCTTATTGAGCAGATGATCCCTATTGTTTTTGGGGTCAGTAGTTCAAAGGTCAAGGTCACAGTGACCGTTGGTCAATTTCTCGTTTCCGGATGATAACTAGAGTTCCTTTTGACCTACAGCCCTCAAACTTCATAGGATGATTGGTCTTATAGAGCAGATGATCCCTATTGTTTTTGGGGTCAGTAGGTCAAAGGTCAAGGTCACAGTGCAGTGGGGGAGACATGCGCTTTTTTACAAAAGCATCCTCTAGTTTTTTTTTTTTTTTTTTTTGTTAGTTGTATTATAAAACCTTGTTCAGTTTAATTCATGCTGTATGCAATTTCTGCTGTTTTGAACATTTTAGAGCTTTGTTCTTCTTTTAATTTATTTTCCATGGACAGGAAATAACTATCATAATACATGTAATTCATTTGATTAGAGCTCAGGTATAAATACAGTTCTCATTTTGTGTATTGATAATTGACCTTCCAGGCACTTTGGATTGTTTGATGTGACAAAGAAATCACAGCTGCTGGAATATTGGTGGTTCTACTAGGATGCCCACTTGTGTCTGAAATAATGCTTGGAGGAGACCTGACATCTTCATTTATCAATGTAGCTAAAATGTCCCCATTTGAACTTTACAGTGTTGCCACCAAATCAAACAAAAAAAATGTCTTTCTGTTTCTCATTAAGAATTTCTCAAAAAAAAAATATAAATAAACAAAGTTGGATGTGATAAAGAAAAGATAGATTTCAAGATTATAGTGTAAATTTAAGAAATGTCATATGTATAGTTTTATAAGATGAAATGATCAATGTTATATATGTTTATATCTCTGACATTGTTAAGACATAAGATAAATTTAGTAACTACTATCACTTTGTCCTTCATGTTATTTTTAGCTCACCTGAGCACGAAGTGCTCAAAGGTGAGCTTTTGTCATCACTCTGCGTCCGTCGTGCGTCGTGCGTCGTGCGTCCTTCAAAAAATGGCGTCAAACTTTTCAAACAACATCTCCTCCTAAACTACATGGCCAATTGCAACCAAACTTTACAGAAATGATCCTTAGGTGGACCCCTTTCAAAGTTGTTCAAAAATTTAAATTCCATTAAAAACTCTGGTTGCCATGGCAACCAATAAGAAAAACTTAAAAAATCTTCTTCTAAAAAACCGTAAGAGCTAGAGCTTAGATATTTGGCATGAAACATCTTCTAATGAGTGCCTACCAAGTTTGTTCAAATCAAAGCCCTAGGTCAAAATTGGCCCCGCCCCAGGGGGTCATTGATTTTCCTATATGCATATAGTAAAAACTTAAAAATCTTCTTTTAAAGAACTCAAAGAGCTAGAGCTAAGATATTTAGCATGAAACATGTTCTAATGGGTGTCAACCAAGTTTGTTCAAATAAAAGCCTGGGGTCAAAATTGGCTCCGCCCCGGGGGGTCATTGATTTTCCTTATATGTGTATAGCAAAAACTTAAAAATCTTCTTTAAAAAACCCAAATAGCTGGAGTTTAGCTATAAGCATGAAACATCTTCTAGTGAGTGTCTACAAAGTTTGTTCAAATCAAAGCCCTAGGGTCAAAATTGGCCCCGCCCCGGGGGTCATTGATTTTCCTTATATGATTGTGTATAGCAAAAACTTAAAAATCTTCTTTGAAAAAACCCAGATAGCTAGTGTTTAGATATAAAGCATGAAACATCTTCTAGTGAGTGTCTACCAAGTTTGTTCAAATAAAAGCCCTAGGGTCAAAATTGGCCCCGCCCCGGGGGTCATTGATTTTCCCTATATGCATATAGTTAAAACTTAAAAAATCTTCTTTTAAAGAACTCAAAGAGCTAGAGCTAAGATATTTAGCATGAAACATGTTGTCATGGGTGTCTACCAAGTTTGTTCAAATAAAAGCCCTGGGGTCAAAATTGGCCCCGCCCCGGGGGTCATTCATTAGCTTGACTTTTTTTTTTTAGATATATATATTATAGATATTATACATATATATTTAATATATAATATATATATATATATATATATATATATAGATATATAGATATATTAGATACATATTATGTATATATATATATATAAATATATATATATATATATATTATATATAGAAAATGAGAGAATATTATATATATATATATATATGTATGTATATGTATATATATATGTATGTATATGTATATACATATTATGTATATATATATATATGATATATATATATATATATATATATATATATATATATATATATATATATAATATATATATATATATACAACCAAGTTTGTTCAAATAAAAGCCCTGGGGTTTAAACTAGCCCCGCTCCAGGGGCCTATATACAGGTGAGCGACTTTGGGCCATCATGGCCCTCTTGTTTATTAACTTCTATGATAAAGGTGCGTTTTAATCGTTGATAATTTATCAATATATATATATAATGGCATGATTAATTTTGTGTACAGTTCATTGAAGAATAGAAAACATGTAATTCTAAAACAAAGGATTACGCTGAACGAGGTTAATATCACTGGTTAGATTTATATAAAGCTGAACATTTATGTATTTTCCAGCTCTTGCAGAAAAGTTACAAGCTGTAGTCCCTATATCAACTGGTCAGATGGTTCGACCTGTCACTCTGGTTGCTAATCTGTCAGGTCAGCTTCAAGGTCCTGGGGGAGGGGGTGGTGGTGGTGGGGGACAACAAGCACAGCTAGCTACTGGAGGACTGCCTGGTGGAGCTACACCCCAGCAACTGGCAGCAGCAGCACAAGCCGGCCAACAAGCAGCACATCAGCTCATGTCTGCTCTAGCTGCACAGAATACCTCTGTTTCAACACCAACTGGTGTTCCTGTCTATAGCCAGGTATGATAATGACTTCATACTTCCTATTTTCTCTGATATAAAGCGAAAATACAAATGTATCTTTATAAATTGATACAGTATTTTATGTAAGTTTAAGCAATTTAGAACCAAATTCAATCATATTTAAAATGTAAAATGTTGGTTATTATATCAGAATTAAGTTCTTTTAATGCCAATTTATGCACAGGTTTCCAGTCAATAGCTTTGTTTATAATACTCAACTATCTGATTCCTTCTTGTTAAAGAATACATTTCTTTCATTCTGTCATTTTAAGAGTTGCTGACTTAAGGTTGAAGTATAGAAGGGTTTCTGACAGATTAGCTTTTTAGCTCACCTGTCACAAAGTGACACGGTGAGCTTTTGTGATCGCTTTTCGTCCGGCGTCCGGCCGTCCGTCCGTCTGTCGTCCGTAAACTTTTACTTTAAATGACATCTCCTCATAAACCACTAGGCCAATTTCATCCAAACTTCACAGGAATGTTCCTTTGGTGGTCACCTTTAAAAATTGTTCAAAGAATTTAATTCCATGCAGAACTCTGGTTGCCATGGCAACCGAAAGGAAAAACTTAAAATATCTTCTTTTAAAAAACCCAAAGAGGTAGAGCTAAGATATTTGGCATGAAACATCATCTAGTCAGTGTCTACCAAGTTTGTTCAAATAAAAGCCCTGGGGTCAAAATTGGCCCCGCCCCAGGGGGTCATTGATTTTCCCTATATGCATATAGTAAAACCTTAAAAAATCTTCTTTTAAAGAACCCAAAGAGCTAGAGCTAAGACATTTAGCATGAAACATCCTCTAATGGGTGTCTGCCAAGTTTGTTCAAATAAAAGCCCTGGGGTCAAATTTGGCCCGCCCCAGGGGGTCATTGATTTACCCTATAGGCATATAGTAAAACCTTAAAAAATCTTCTTTTAAAAAACCCAAAGAGGTAGAGCTTAGATATTTGGCATGAAACATCTTCTAGTGAGTGTCTACCAAGTTTGTTCAAATAAAAGCCCTGGGGTCAAAATTGGCCCCGCCCCAGGGGGTCATTGACTTTCCCAATATGCATATAGTAAAACCTTAAAAAATCTTCTTTTAAAGAACCCAAAGAGCTAGAGCTAAGATATTTAGCATGAAACATCCTCTAATGGGTGTCTACCAAGTTTGTTCAAATAAAAGCCCTGGGGTCAAAATTGGCCCCGCCCCAGGGGGTCATTGATTTACCCTATATGCATATAGTAAAACCTTAAAAAATCTTCTTTTAAAAAACCCAAAGAGGTAGAGCTTAGATATTTGGCATGAAACATCTTCTAGTCAGTGTCTACCAAGTTTGTTCAAATAAAAGCCCTGGGGTCAAAATTGGCCCCGCCCCAGGGGGTCATTGATTTTTCCTATATGCATATAGTAAAACCTTAAAAAATCTTCTTTTAAAGAACCCAAAGAGCTAGAGCTAAGATATTTAGCATGAAACATCCTCTAACTGGTGTCTACCAAGTTTGTTCAAATAAAAGCCCTGGGGTCAAATTTGGCCCCGCCCCAGGGGGTCATTGATTTACCCTATATGCATATAGTAAAACCTTAAAAAATCTTCTTTTAAAAAACCCAAATAGCTAGAGCTAAGATATTTAGCATGAAACATCCTCTAATGGGTGTTCACCAAGTTTGTTCAAATAAAAGCCCTAGGGTCAAAATTGGCCCGCCCCAGGGGGTCATTGTTTTTCCTTTTATGTATATAGTTAAAACATAAAAAATCTTCTTTTAAAAAATCTTAAAAGCTAGAGCTAAGATATTTAGCATGAAACATCTTCTAATGGGTGTCTACCATTTTTGTTAAATTAAGGGCCCTGGGGTTAAAAAATTGGCCCGGCCCCGGGATCATTGATTTTCCTTTTATGTATATAGTAAAAACTGAAAAAATGTTCTGTTAAAAAGCCCAAAGAGATAGAGTTTAGATATTAAGCATGAATAATCTTCTAGTGAGTGTTTACCAAGTTTGTTCAAATAAAAGCCCTGGGGACAAAATTGGCCCGCACAGAGGGTGTGGGTCATTGTTTTTCACTATATGTGTTTAGTAAAAACTTAAAGATTTTCTTAGAGCTAGAGCTTAGATATTTATCATGAAACATCTTCAAATGGGGATCTACCAAGTTTGTTCAAATAAAAGCCCCTGGGTTAAAATTAGCCCCGCCTGGGGGCCTATATACAGGTGAGCGATTTCAGGGCCATCATGGCCCTCTTGTTAATGTCAAAAGGGCTAGTGGTACATGAAATTTATGAACGATCTTAATCATTGTTCTGTTATAGGTTGCACAGTCACCAGTGACTCCAACTCAGCAACCTCTTACATTAATCTCCCAGTCAGGAGTACATCTTGTACAGCAGGCCTTATCACAGTCCTCGCCTAACACACAGTCTGTTAGTTTGCAACAGTTACAGCAACATCTGCAGCAGCAGCAGCAACAACAACAACAGCAGCAGCAACAACAGATTGTGAGCAATTTAGCAACTCAACAACCTGTTTTGGTATAAGACTAACTTAAGTCTTAAAAAAAAAATAACAGTATTTTCCAAATTCTGTTGTAAAAGTTACTTGATTTCTGTTTTTATTTCATTTATCAATCAATTAGCTATATAATTTCCTTTTGAAGGAAAATATTAAAAAACTCAGCAAAATTCTATCAGAGGCATCTTTGTCATATGGACACATATCTAGTTTAGTTGTTGCTCGTATCAGATGAGCATTAATACCTCATGAAGTGCCTTATTAAAATTGTTCTTTTAAACATCATTTTCAAAATTAAAGATGCCAATTAAGATCTTTTCCTTGCCAAGTAATTATACCCCCACCACAAAATGTGGGGGGGCTATAATGGATTCGCTTTGTCGCGTCGGTCGGTCGGTCCGTCCGTCTCCGTTTTCGTGTCCGCTCTATAACTCCTATACCACTTGAAGGATTTTCTTCAAACTTGGCTCAAATGTTCACCTCAGCAAGGGGATGTGCAGAACCCATGTTGCCCATGTGTCAGCTCAAGGTCAAGGTCACAATTGAAGGTCAAATATCAAACACAATCATATATTAGACAGTATGTCGTGTCCGCTCTGTAAGTCCTACAATAATTGAAAGATTTTCTTCAAACTTGGTTCAAATGTTCACCTCAACAAGGGGATGTGCAGAACTCATGTTGCCCATGTGTCATCTTAAGGTCAAGGTCACAATTGAAGGTCAAATCAAACAATCAAATATTACACAATATGTCGTGACCGCTCTGTAAGTCCTACACTAATTGAAAGATTTTCTTCAAACTTGGTTCAAATGTTCACTTCATCAAGGGGATGTGCAGAACCCATGTTGCCCATGTGTCATCTTGAGGTCAAGGTGACAATTGAAGGTCAAATATCAAACAATCAAATATTACGCAGTATGTCGTGTCCGCTCTGTAAGTCCTACACTTATTGAGAGATTGTCTTCAAACTTGGCTCAAATGTTCACCTCAACAAGGGGATGTGCAGAACCCATGTCACCCTTTTGCCGGCTTAAGGTCAAGGTCACAATTGAAGGTCAAATATCAAACAATCAAATATTACGCAGTATGTCGCGTCCGCTCTGTAAGTCCTACACGAATTGAGAGATTTTCTTCAAACTTGGCTCAAATGTTCACCTCAACAAGGGGATGTGCAGAACCCATGTCACCCTTTTGCTGGCTTAAGGTCAAGGTCACACTTGAAGGTCAAAATTTGACTTAGAAAATGTTCTTAAATTTTAACATATATCTGAATATTTCTGAATCTAGGAAAGGTATTTGGTTGAAACTTAAAATATATATGAAATGTCACAATTAAGATATGCTGGTCAAGTTTCATAACTCTGTATTGCATTTAAACAAAGTTATGCCCCTTTTTAATCTTCAAATTTACATACAATCACATATTAGACAATATGTCGTGTCCGCTCTATAAATCCTATACTAATGGAAGAATTTTATTCAAACTTTACTCAAATGTTCACCTAAACAAGGTTATGTGCAGAATCCATGTCACCTTTGTGCAGTCTAAAAGTCAAGGTCAAAAATTGACTTAGAAAATGTTTCTTAGATTTTAACATGTTCTTGAATATTTCTGAAACTAGCACAGGTATTTGCTTGAAACTTAAAAGATATATGAGGTGTCACAATTACGATATGCAGGTCAAGTTTCATAACTCAGTATTGCATTTTGACAAAGTTATGCCCCTTTTTAAGTCTTTAAATTTACATACAATCAATACTAGAATATATGTTGTGTCCGCTCTATAAATTCTATACTAATGGAAGGATTTTCTTAAAACTTTACTCAAATGTACACCCCAATTGGGCGATGTGCAGAACCCATCTTACCCTTGTGCCAGCTTAAGGTCAAGGCCACACTTGAAGGTCAAAAATTGACTTACAAAAAGTTTAGTATATTGGGAAAATGTAAGGTTATTTGTAACTGTTTCAAACATGATTTGATAATAGATATTTATACTATTACCTGTACAATAAGTCTTTTTTTCAACAGAGATAATTTCTTTTTATGTATTTGTGCGACTTAAGTTATTTCCTTAACCACCTTTCCAAGTCGTCTTCTGTCAAGGACATTGGTGGGGGTATGAATCGCATTCAGCGATAGTTCTAGTTGATACAATATAAGCTTCAGTTTATAATGAACAAAAGAATTCTTTTTAAATAGCTTTTACAGTTTTCTTACCATTTTTAGTTCATTTGTTTCAAAGGAAAAGACAAGCTATCATGATTGTTCGCGTCTTGCAAAAAATTTAATGTATTCCAGTATTCAAACACTTAAAAAGTTATCAACATTAGACTTGGAATACTTGCTTATTATGACAAGATGCATAATTCTGACAGCAATAATTTTGAAGTAATGTCCACTTTAAAATTAGAATTTTTAACATACAAGTATTAACACTGCATGTGGTGCTCTTGTTATACACTGTCATTAAAAAGAAGTGTTTTGCATTTGATATAAAAGGATTTGACAGTACAGTTAACTATCTGGCTTTGTGTAAATGTTTTTAAAATGTTTGTTGTTTTGATGTTACAGGTGACTGCCCTTACAAATGCCCCGGTATCCATTGCAACAAAAAGAGCTTTAGAAGATCATATTAAAATTGAAAATATGAAAGATGAACCTTTAGATAAACAAGTTAAATTGGAAACATCAGAAGTCACAGAGTAAAAATGATACTGTTTTTTTTTTCTAAAGCAACAAGTGATGTGTATATACACGCCACATTGTTTATGTGAGAGCATGTTTTACAGAAAGTATATACTTGTGGCTGGGTTTGTATTCACTGTTTTAGGGCAAAGGTGGACTGAAGGAGTACAAGTGGTACGTTGAAAATGTGGTCCGGATGTTAGAGAAAGAACTGGTCTATGTATAAACATACTTTTAACATTTAAATAATTTACAAGACCATACTGTTTGCTGAAGTATTATTCTGTGTAACTTCTGTGAAGTAAACTGTTTAAAGGAATTGTGATAGAAGTATATTTCTGTGAAAAAAAGGAGAGAATTACAAAGTTAATATGTTACACAACATGTAATAATTCATTTTGAAACTAACAAAAGTTAAGTATAGGATGAGAAGCTAGGCATATATCTAGTGATGCATTGTGAGGGATCTCCTTTTGTTCAGTGTTTTTATAGTTCGGCAGCTGTTAGTTAAGATTAAATGTGCTTATTGTTCTCAATTATTTGTTTTATAATTTAATTACAAAATTAATTTCATGTATTTATCAAACTATTAAACTTCCTTCTTATTGGAGCCTGTGCTGTTTTTCTAGGTTTCAAAACTTTGTAAATGAATAATTTATTGTTTGAATGATCCTATTTTTTATGCCCCTGAATCGATAAGATAAGGAGGACATATTGTATTTGGTCTGTCTGTATGTATGTGATAAAACTTTACCATGACCATAACACAGAAGTGCTGCTGTCTGCAGGTTCCAATCTTCACAGGTGCTTGTACCTTTAATCTTCAGTCTCGCCAAGTGGTCATAGAATCACAGATAAATTCATTAATAATATTGTAAATATTGATCTTGGCCATCAAATGAAAGTGCTTTCATCAAAAACTTAAAATGTGCATGCACTTTATTGCACACTATTTGCTAGACTCACCTTTCAGACACGAGGTCACCAAAGGGTCATTATGGTTATTTGAACACAACACTAGTTTTATAATTCCATTTTTATGAAATTTTTCTGCTTCTGCTCAGATTAAATAAGACTTTATTACACAGATGATAACAATTTGTGCAACAAAAAGTAAAGTATCCAAACTGGCGAAAATTGGTGAGATACATGTGTTACAAGTACATGTATTTACCTTTTGGGACAGCCTAAAAGGAGCTGTTTACTTCAATATTTTGAGGTATATTACTGATGCACACTTTTATAGTTAAGGTTAAGGTAGAGCTTTTTCTAGGTATGTATCAGCCACTTTTAACACATACATAAAGCGTAGCCATGAGTTACAAGAAAACTTCAATCATGGGCAAAGTTATTAAAATGGTTTATTTTAATTACGGTAAACTTGTCATAAAATGTTGTTCATTTGTTGTAATTTATTTATAGATTTTCATGTTTTGGTTACTTTTGTTAAGACATTTACATGCTCAAAGAAATCTTTAAAGAGGATATTTCTTTTATCAGTGATATATTTAATTAATTTCTTTCATGTTGAGATTTTCTCTTAAAATAAGTAGAATTGGACCTACTATTAATTACATGAAAAATAAAGTCTTGAATGCATTGTAATTACTTTGATTATATATGTAATCCAAGAAGATTAAGTTATTTTGAATTCTTGAATCTTGTGAAATTTACTGTGGATGCTGATTTAATAGTAATCCATTCAAAAGGTGGGAATGTAATTTTTCAATATTTGTAATGTAGAAAGTTAAAACGTAGAAAATACTATTCATAATTTACGCTTTATTGCTGCACTTGTTTTTATGGCAGGTTAATTAGATATTAGATTATGATGAGTATTTGTCTTCCAAATATTTCATTGTATTTCCCTTAACTAAAAGAATAAATTACAAATATATACATGTAGTAACAGTTTTTAGCTCGACTATTCGATAAGAATAAGTAGAGCTATTGCAGTCACCCGAGCGTAGGCGTCGGCGTAACCACTTATGTTAAAGTTTTTGTAATAGTTCAAATATTTTCAAAGTCCATTGACATATGGCTTTGAAACTTTGCACACTTGTTCACCATCATGACCCCAACCTGTAGACAGGAGGAGGTAACTCTATCAAGCATTTTGACAGAATTATGCCCCTTTTTCGACTTAGAATTTACGTTAAAGTTTTTGTAATAGTTCAAATATTTTCAAAGTCCATTGACATATGGCTTTGAAACTTTGCACACTTGTTCACCATCATGACCCCAACCTGTAGACAGGAGGAGGTAACTCTATCAAGTATTTTGACAGAATTATGCCCCTTTTTCGACTTAGAATTTACGTTAAAGTTTTTGTAATAGTTCAAATATTTTCAAAGTCCATTGACATATGGCTTTGAAACTTTGCACACTTGTTCACCATCATGACCCCAACCTGTAGACAGGAGGAGGTAACTCTATCAAGCATTTTGACAGAATTATGCCCTTTTTCGACTTAGAATTTACGTTAAAGTTTTTGTAATAGTTCAAATATTTTCAAAGTCCATAGACATATGGCTTTGAAACTTTGCACACTTGTTCAACATCATAACCCCAACCTGTAGACAGCAGGACGTAACTCTATTAAGCATTTTGACAGAATTATGCCCCTTTTTCGACTTAGAATTTACGTTAAAGTTTTTGTAATAGTTCAAATATTTTCAAAGTCCATTGACATATGGCTTTGAAACTTTGCACACTTGTTCAACATCATGACCCCAACCTGTAAACAGGAGGAGGTAACTCTATCAAGCATTTTGACAGAATTATGCCCCTTTTTCGACTTAGAATTTACGTTAAAGTTTTTATAATAGTTCAAATATTTTCAAAGTCCATTGACATATGGCTTTGAAACTTTGCACACTTGTTCACCATCATGACCCCAACCTGTAAACAGGAGGAGGTAATTGTATCAGGCATTTTTTTTACTATCAAGCACTAAGAATAGTCGAGCATGCTGTCCTACCGACAGCTCTTGTTGTTGTTGAAGAAGTAACTGCTGAACTAGGAAGGGCATCTGGCTTTTATATATCTTTAAGACAGAACTAAACATGATTTTAGGCATGTTTGAATATTTGCCTAAAGATATGACACTTTACATAAATATATGTAGTCTAATCGTTAAATGTCTTCAATTTCATGTAAAACATGGAAAGTTAGTGATATTTCAGGAGAATTTACTTTATTTTTTATACTGAATAAATATGTGTGTTTCCTATTTATTATTCTAAATTTTTTTCACCTTGCAATAAGATAAACACGAATGGTAAACTGAGTTAGGGTTTTTTGCGAGTGAACTTATGTTCTGATTGAAGGAACATTTCACCAGTATATAGTGCTTTACTTTATTGTGTTATTTCTATGTAAATGTTGAAATTGTATATTGTATATATTGTTGAAGAGAGGAGATGTTGTTTCGGTTATCTTGACAAAAAAAGGTTCTTTTTTTCTCTGTAATTCAACAGGTATGACTGAAAACTTCTATCTTACTTCTATGAGTGATATTTTTTTGTAAAACTGTTGTGAAGCTTGAAGTGTGATAGTTAACCTGTTTTGAAAACTTATTTCTAAACTTTTTCATACTTTCTCAGAATATCATAGAATGATTTTGCCAGTGACAAAAATAATTTCAGTATTATATTCATTCCATTTTCACACTTACATAAAATTTGTACACTCGTAATACCCTTACATTATTCTGCACCTATGTCTGTAACTCAAAAAGGAATGAAAAATACCTTAGCATAACCTGTTTTAGACATGCCATATTCATATAATATCAATTAAAATGATAAATTGTGGTAATTATGAAAAATCATAACAATAATTGATGCATAATTAGTGATGTACATTTACATTTACCCTTTTTCTGTTGCATCAGTGCTTTTATTTTCTGTCAATGTGTTGTTTAAAATGCCAAAAAATACCATACTAACTTGTTAGATATTTTCAATAATTTGAAGTCAAAAGGGAAAAAAAGAAAAAGAATGTGTAAATGCTACATTTTTGTGCTTATTGTTACATGTTAGGGTGAAAGTATGAGGGGGGATAATTATGAGTGCACTTCTTTCTTAATCTGTTTATATTTAGTTTGATTTTGTTCTTAGGTCTGTTTTATGTTTATTTGTTATGAAAACAAAAAAAAGAAGATTTTTGTGCAATGATATCCGGGGAACAAATTGTTTTATGTCAGCTGCCTCTGTTGAGGTGTCATTTATCCATTTTATGCATGTTTTCCATTTTTAACTTGTTAGGAGATAAAACATTTTAAGGTATCAAAATTCATATTTTGTTTCAGCAACCTACCTGTTCACTTATTTTATTGTGTCAATTGCCATATTTTTTATTTTTTTGAAATACAGTAAGTGAAATTAAATTATTGAATAAAATCATGGTATAATTGTAACCTCCATGTAATTGTTTAAAAAATTATGAACGTGAAAAGCTTTAGCTTTTGGATAATTTTGAGAGCTTTTGTATTTGGTTATGTAATTGTGTACCAAATGGAAATAACTCTATTTGTTTCCTCATTGTTATCTTACTTGTTTCAGAGATAACAATGTTAAAAAAAATAAAATTTGAATATTTAAAGACTGTGTTGATTTGTTATTTTCTTGAAGCTAAAGTTATAATGGCATGAAAGATTTACAGTAAACATGTTCATTGTAGTATTAAGATTTGGTGCAGACAAGGATAATCACATGCAGATAATGTGCTGTGTGTATACATGAGATGGTATGGCAGCTGGAAGGTCATTGTAATTGCATTGCAATCCAATTAAAATTAAATCAATAAAAAACACGGTACTTGGATCTTCAAAGATGAATACCTATGCCCATGAAACCTATAGCATACCAATATTTCTAGAAGGCTGATTTTTGCTTAGTGTACAGATTAATCTATAATAATGAAGGTGTATATACCGCTTGAATGCTTAAAATGGTAGTGAGTGGTGAGTTAACCATCCTATAACATTACACAAATAGTTCAGAAAAAGTAATTTCAATGTTTACTAAACATTGAAAAACAAATGATTTTCTAATAGTTGCTTAATATATTTGCGATGAGATGACTGTCTAATACCATATATATGTGCTGGAAATAGTGACTGCAAGAGGAAGCAGATTTATTGACTAATGGTTGACTGTCTGGCTACTGGGTATGTATGACTTGTAAAACTCTAAACAAGAAGATGGTTTTTATATCACTAATATTTTGACTATTAAATATTCATGCTTATTTTAATGAAAATGCATTTAAAAGTAGAATATTTTTAAGTGAAAAAGAAAGTTATTTACTCATTGCAAACAGTACTTGCAGTTCACGAAAATTACGCAAATATAGTCCTTATTGTGTTAGTCATGCAGTAGAAATATGGTGATAAATACTGCAAAATCGGTCATTAATCGCACACATGTAAATTATTACTAAAATCTTTTTTATTTTCTTAAAATCTTAGTATATTTTTTATAAGTTTTATTTTCTTGAAAAATTCGGAAACATCTGGATACATGCAGCTTTAAAAGTTCCTGCTTGTCTGATTACTAGAATTCTAAGTTTTCAGTCTAAATTTCTTTCTGCCATCGAGCACAAAAATGATGTATATAAAAAATTTTGGTTTTATCTAAGGTTATCCAAGAAATTTCATCTGTGAAAAGATTTCACCATCAGGATACTCTTTAAAACTAACGTTTACCGCCTAATATAATTTTATTCAACTTGTTCAATAAATTTAATAGGCTAATGAACTTGCACTCATTCGATATCCTCTAAATCTTAATTTCTACATTGTCTATTTACAAATGCTCAGTTTCTTGCACTGGTTGAAGAGATAATATTGACACTCAAATTAAAATCAGCTTCTTTTAGTTTTTCGTTTTTGTTTTCTTTCTTCTTTTCTTCAAAATTTCGATGTCTTAAATATAATAACCTGTCTAAACGAACTGAGATAGAAGATTTTACCATACTGTAATATCACAAAAATTGTTTTGGGAAACTGAAACTGCTACCTGGCCTCTATGAGACCCTAAATGACGTATCCAACATATGGGGTTTTTTTTGCAACATGATAGTAGATCTATAGCCGAACCTTCAGTTTAAAAATAAAAAATCAGAGCTGAAAGTCAGTCATACATTTCTAATTTGATGTGTTGTTTATCTTTTTAGATTTTGTTGTTGATATTTGATAGTAACTATTCTTTGAAATATTAATCCAAGTATGTGGCCCATCTTCGAAATAAAGTCTGTCTTACAAAAAATAAGTAACAACTATCAGCGTTTCTTGTGTCGTTTGGAGGCTCAGGCCTATCGTAAAACTTGCCCTGAACATCCAATCAGGTGTTATATTTCCCTCCCTTAAAGATCTTATAGCATGACAGTATTGATGTATTTTAAGTTTCTTCTGTTTGACCTTTTTCTTATTTGTGGCACCAGTTTTTCTTTTTGAATGCTGCATAATTCACTATTAGGATATTTTGCCTGATTTTGACTTTGTCTTTTGAAGGCTTGTCTGCGATACTAGTATGCATGCAGGCTTCTTATAACCACTGATCACTTTTCAATATTCTTTTTTGTTTCAAGTACTGCACATTGCTTTCTCGTTAAGGGCACAAACATCCATTAATTTGAAGAACTGTTTTTTATGTATGGCGTGAATATGTCAGATGATGATTGCCGTATGCGGGGGTTTCAAATTGTTTAATTTTGCTTTTAAAAGCTGATGCCATGGGCGTGAACAGTATATTGCACTTTTCATTATCATCCATTAACAGGCTCCATCAAATCAAGCGTGCATTATTTTCAATTTTGCAGTTTGTGCGTTCTAAAGGGATTCCATTTATTTCTATTTTGAGACATTTATTGTAGAATGGGATTCTGGCCCAGAGTAAAACATATATATCTTTTGACATGAAAATGTTTAAAGGCCAGGACAAATTGCTAACGGCACATAGTAATGGAAGTTTGATAGAAAAAACGATTTGAAGCAGTTTATTGTAAACAAAAAATAAGCAGATTAACATTGAGAAACACTTTAAAATGTTAATCGACCTTCAAAAGATCACCACAGTGTCTTTTTTTGCCCTAATATAACTAGGCAGTCAATGGCATATTTTTGGAATAATTGAATTGACAAAGTGTCAGAGTTACCTATTTGTCGAAAAGAAACACAAGATTTTATAAGATCATATTTTGTTGTTAAAATTTCTTTGTTAAAAATGTGGACTGTTAAATACAGAGTAAAAGAAAAGTATTTTTTATTTTTTGGGCGAGGAAACTATTAGTGGCCTATAACCTTTAACTTGAGGTCGAAAATTATTTTGAACGAATCAATAACTAACTGTTAAGAGTTACTTCTCTTGTTGTTCAACAGGAAGTTGATGCGTCCATAGAAACAGGAAACAAAACGACCGTGTTGCTACCAGACAGGAAAGAGTGATAAAAGTGGACACATGATATTTGTCTAGAGTTTTTTTAAGGAAAATTAAAAAAATATGTCTGAGGCTACTTTGCAAAGCCGAGAAATTCCACCGGAGAGACCTGCCCCAATGGCAGAAACATCTGGAGGTTGTAGAAATGAAAATATGGAGATAACTTACACTGGAAACACGGGAAACGACATGGGCATTTCTACAATGGGATACAGATCGTCAAAATACAACCCACCGGAGTGGCATGAAAATAATTACGCCAAATATTACCAGTCTTTCGTTGATCGGGATAATGGTGAAAGGATCCGTCATGAATCAAAACGCACCATCAATGAAACAGAAGCAACCACAAACAAAACCCAAGCTGAAGTTACAAAGAAACTGGGAGAGAGAATTCAGGACATAAATTTTTGGAAATTTGAATTAGAACGTGAAATCCGAGATGTTATAGATGAAACAGATTTATTGCTTGCACAGAAGAAGAGGTTAGAAAATGCATTACGGGCCACAGAAATTCCACTTCATATTTCCACTGATAACTTGAACTGCAGACAAAGAAGAGAAAACATTGACCTTGTTCAAGATGATGTTGAGCTCTCATTGTTAAAGGTAATTGCTTCTTTTCATTTCCTAGTATTTGTGGGTTTCTTAGTATTCATGTGAATAAAATTTGATAAAAGTTTAAGATTTTAAAAGCATTGTACCTGTAATCATCATATTCTATTCTATCTTAAGATGTGTAGAAATTGCACACCTTTCATAAAAAGTTAGACTGTTACATTAATGGAACACATCTAGTTCAGCGGACCCCGATAGATAAAATATATTAGCATGCTTGCTTAATGAGGGCTATGGCCCAAACCCATGATTTCTAACTACAACAATATTCAGACAATCATTAGCCAGGTTTCATGTAATCTAAACCAGGGTCTGTTAAAGTAGATTCTATTCCATTGATTAATTGGATTTCCAATTACTGAAAATACAATGACCATTTTTTCATTTTATATGCATTTCTTATTTATGATATTGATTAATTTCACAACTAATTACATTGAATAAAAATACTTACAAAATCAATATTTCTGTTAAATTAACATAAATATTGACTTTACAGTTTAATAGTGAAAGTTTAATTCATTAAATTAAATGAATGACAAAAAGCAAATGAGAATAAAGAGTAATACCTTGCCTTTGATTTTCCTTGATAAGACTTAATATTGCTGTGCTGCCGTTGTTTTATTAAATGCTCACTCTATTTTTCAGGAGGTAGAAATTATCAATAATGTTCAAGATTTGCTCAAAAAGACAATAGATCAATCAGAAAAGCAAATTAGGTATGTATAATACTGTACATGTAAAAACCAATCTGAAAAATATTACAACTTTTCATATACTTCCATTAAAAAAACAACAAAATAACCTGATAATTTAAGCACAATCCACTTTCATTTACTTATTAATTACAAGAGGATTAACATTGTGATTAAAAAAAAGTTACTGTCTTGTTTAAAATTATAATTTCTGGCTAAATGCTATGAAATAATTAACTGATAATTTTTATTTACAGGCTTAATCGTGATGCAAAACAGAACTTGGAGATGGACTGGAGTGATAAAAAGGAAGCACTAGAGATTGATTCTGCATCTGGTGCTCTTAAAAATCAACACACAAACAAACAGTTCTATCCAGGTGCTGCCAAATTTCAAGAAATGTAAGATAATAAATTATTTATGATAAATGAATAAAGATTTAAGCATAAATTTGCTGCATAATTTTGAGTAAAAATGTACATGATAGGCAATGGGCCTGAATATTTGAAATAAAAAAATATTCTAAACAAAATAGATGTATTATTATATTATTTGTACACATGAACATTGTGATGATTTATGAAGTAGAGTACACAATAATTCCTAGATGACAGTCAATTAAGATAAAAAAAACCCCAATATAACAGTATGAAATGAATACAACATTGTTTGTTGTACATTATAAGATGAAATTGTATGTCACTTGTGGCAATACTAGTTATGAAATTGTTACATATCTGTTCACTAAATAGATGAACTATATTTTGTTCTTACATTGAAACAAGCAAACTACAATCCTGAGCATATTTGAATGTTTATTAAAATTACTTGTCATCTTTTGTTTTCAGTCAGTCTACACCTGAGTCATGGGCCCAGTTTTCACATGACAACATTGTACGTGCTGAGCATGAGAGAATGGCCTCAATGCAGTTACGTCAGTTGATAGATAACATACTTGAAGATACATCACGTGATGAGAGAGAACAATGTGATGCCGTTGATGTTGCCTTCCAGAAGAGGGTCACTGAGATGGAAGATGCTAAGACAAAGATGGAGGAGAACCTTAAAAAGGTAAAATTTGAAAGCAAAGTTGTTATTTATTTGTGCATCAGCAAATTGAAAAGATATTCAGTGAATTGTTGTATTTTCCTATTATTATTTGCAATAAATTTGAATCTTGAATTCCATTTTGAATACCATCATGAATTTTTGCAATAATTAGTAAAAATGATAAATAAGAAGTTCCTTTCAGATTTTTTTTAAGATTCTTGTTGCTGTTTTATATATAAAGTAATAAACTTAGAAGAGAACAATGTTGACATTTATTGTAGAACAATGAAGATCTTTTGTGAAACTATAATTATTATACATGTGCTATTGTTATAGGTATGTGACGAGATCTGCCAGATGGAAAGGAACATTGAAAACTTGAAGAAGGCGATCAGAGATAAGGAGAACCCAATGAAGGTCTCACAGACTCGTCTTGAAAACAGAACATTCAGACCAGGTGTTGAACTCTGTAGAGATCCAGTGCAATACAAGTATGCATATTCTTGTCTGTTATGTATGAATGCATCTAGGTTATATGTTAATATTATACTGTTGTTAGTCATTGAAAATGACATTCTTGCAGTTATTTGCAGTTTGACTAGGGTATTTCTTCCCTATATAAGAGTCAGTTTTATAATAATCAACATTATTTTAATATCCAAAGAATTATGCATAGAAATCAAACTGAAATTTGTCATCAAGAAATTTTACTGCAGCGTAAAATAACATTAACTTTTATGACTCTGAAATTATTTTAACTAAATAAGCATCCTAGCTGAGTGCTTAAGAAAGAAGTATTTTGTAACATCAGTCTAAATACTATAAATAGCATTAGTCTCTAATTTAGTTTTAGTAAAAAGATTCACACCAGGTTTATGATATCATGGCATCTACTTGATCATCTAAGGTTTTAATATTTTCTAAGATGACACAGTACTTTATTATTGTATTGAGTTCCATGTTAACTTCTATTGATATAATCATATTTTGGCACTGAGGCATAAATTGACAGACATTAACATTTCTTGCTGCTTGATTTTCAGACTGGTTGGAGAGGTCAACGAGATCCACACTTCTATTGATGCCCTGACAGACAAGCTTAACCAGGCACAGAACTCTCTTAAGGACTTGCAGGATAACCGTATGGGACTTGAGAAGGAAATCTCCATCAAGAAGAACAGTCTGTTCATTGACAGAGACAAGTGTATGAGTGTACGCACCAGATATCCAACCACACTCAAACTCCAGGGATACCAATAATCATTGAAACTTTCAAACATTTTGATATTTTCAAATTAAAAATAATTAATTAAATCAAGTGTCAGTCGAAAAATAACTCAAATGATCATGAACACAATAGTTTTATATTGTTATAATTTCTTTAAATGTTGTTTGTTTTATTCTTGAAAGTAAAGCAGTTTTGGGTATTTGTGGCAATTATATTCTAAGAACAGTATTTGAGTGCAAATTTTATTGTCTGTGTTAGTAAAAGACAAATCAGTAAGCAAGAAGACTAAATCTTGTCAACATAAAAATTTGCATGGTATTTATATTATAATATCATTTATCAAGGCATTTTGTGTTTGCATAATTTGCTACTTATATAATCATCAGTATTACCATTGCTTGCTGACTGTTTCCCCCTGTAAGTCCCCTTGTTATAGGTCCTGTATGGTCGTTTCACTGTCGAGTGGTTGCACCTTTATCTGTGATATAAATGTATAATGTTTTTGAAAATGAATATATTTTTTAAAAAATTTCTTTAGAAATTATTTAATGCCTTTTACCTTTTGTTATTTCTTCTTTAAAGTATTAAATTTACAATATTCCTATTCCATTGCAGAATCTAACCTTAATGAGCATATTTTACTTTGTTCACTAAAACATGGCTTTGAAATGAGTAGGAAATGTTAAATTTTAAAATTAAAGTTTACTCTGTGATGTTTACTGCCTTTTTTTTGTCTTTGTTGTATGGTAGATATACTGTTACCAGATTCTGGTCAGTCTTGTTATATTGTCTTTTTCCCCTTGTGTTGCAAAAAAAAAGCTTTTTAAAGTGTAAATAAAATGGTGTATAATGATTTTATCTTCATTTTTATTTGTTTCCAAACAGGTCAAGGCAATCAAATGGTAACATCAAAAGTTACCCTAAACCATTGCAATCTTGGCATTCATTCCCCCTGATATACATGATAAACACAATTTTATGATTTAATATGTAATTATGTATCAATTACACCATTCTTTGAAGGTGCAGCAATAGATGATTATTAAGTTGGCCTAGAACTGTTAAATTTCAATGATTGCATAATTCATTATGATACAATTTTTTGTATTTTAGTTATGACTGCCATCCTGGTACTCTACACTTACCCTATTAATCACATGTATAATCATGTTTATTTGTTCTGCCTTAGGGTTTTTTTAGTTCCGTAAAGTTTAATAATGTGTAACAAGAGCCATGTCAACATGGCCATCCCCCGCTGAATGTGTTTGCTCATTGGAAGAATGTATATGTAGTAGAGCAGAATAATTCCATTTTAAGAGGTCTTTTGGTAATGAAAACTGATGGCTGAAGTGATAACAGATTTGAAACCTATGTGAATACTGATGGCTGAAAATAACAAAGGGCAATAACTGAAAAATAATGCAGGGTAGGTTATCATTCTTGTGTGCTGCACCCTCCTCAGTAAAATCTATCCACCTATGAGGTTTCAAGTTGATACCTCGAATACTTTTGCGATAAGCTCTCAACAAAAAAGTATGAAAAAGAACAAAGGGCAATGACTTAAAAATTATATAGGGAAGAGTTATCATTCTTGCCCACAGCATTCCTCCTCAATAAGATCTATCCACCTATGACATTTCATGTTGACATCTCATACACTTTTGAATTATGCTCCACTCAGGTGAAAAATGTTTGATGCTAAATATCTTAGCCATAGCTCTTTGAGTTCTTTAAAAGAAGATTTTTTAAGTTTTTACTATATGCATATAGGGAAAATCAATGACCCCCCCGGGGCAGGGCCAATTTTGACCCCAGGGCTTTTATTTGAACAAACTTGGTAGACACCCATTAGAACATGTTTCATGCTTAATATCTTAGCTCTAGCTCTTTGGGTTCTTTAAAAGAAGATTTTTTAAGTTTTTACTATATGCATATAGGGAAAATCAATGACCCCCCGGGGCGGGGCCAATTTTGATTTTATTTGAACAAACTTGGTAGACACTCACTAGAAGATGTTTCATGGCAAATATCTAAGCTCTAGCTCTTTTGGTTTTTTAAAAGAAGATATTTAAAGTTTTTTCTTTCGGTTGCCATGGCAACCAGAGTTCTGCATGGAATTAAATTCTTTGAACAATTTTTAAAGGTGACCACCAAAGGAACATTCCTGTGAAGTTTGGATGAAATTGGCTTAGTGGTTTATGAGGAGATGTCATTTAAAGTAAAAGTTTACGGACGGACGCCGGACGGACGACGGACGGACGGACTCCGGACGAAAAGCGATCACAAAAGCTCACCCTGTCACTTTGTGACAGGTGAGCTAACAAAGGGCAATAACTCAAAAATTATGCAGGATAAAGTTATCATTCTTGTGCACTGCACTCCTCCTTAATGAGATCCATCCACCTATGAAGTTTCAAGTTGATACCTCAAATACTTTTTGAGATAAGCTCCAGACAAAATAGTATGAAAAACAAAACAAAGGGCAATAACTCAAAAATTGTATAGGGAAGAGTTATTATTCTTGCGCACAGCATTCCTCCTCAATAAGATCTATCCACGTATGACATTTCATGTTGACATCTCAAAAACTTTTTGAGTTATGCTCCACTCAGGTGAAAAATTAAGTATGAAAAATAACAAAGGGCAATAACTCAAAAATTATGAAAGGTAGAGTTATCATTCTTGTGCACTGCACACCTCCTGAGTGAGATCTATGGACTTATGAAGTTTTATGTTGATATCTCAAAGGCTTTTTGAGTTATGCTCTGGACAAAAATTAATTTTGAAAAATAACAAAGGGCAATAACTGAAAAATTATGCAGGGAAGAGTTATCATTCTTGTGCACTGCACTCCTCCTCAATGAGGTCTATCCACCTATGAAGTTTCAAGTTGATACCTCAAATACTGTATGAGATATGCTCCGGACAAAAATGTCGGACGGAAGGACGGATGGTTGGAAGGAAGGACGGACGATGACTAATTCTATATCCCCCGCCGCCTTTCGGCGGGGGATAACAAAACTATAAAACATGTATAATAATTTTGAAAATATCAGGCATTTGAAGGCTTTGTCCAAAGTTTTGTTGTGTTCAAGTATGTAGGCAATCCATTGAGAAATAAAAAAAATCATGACCAACGTTAAAGTTTTCTGACGGCAACGGCTACAACACCATGACTGTTGCAATAGCTTTTTTTCTTTGAGAAAGTAGAGCTAAAAGTGACTCCATATATTCCGCAGCTGCGTAAATATAGATTACATTTACATCAGTTTACAATTATCCACTGAAAGTCAATGTTACAAAATGTGAAGTACTAGTATTATGAAACTTCTGTACAGTACTACCAAAAAATTACTTCTGCTTATTTCCATGTTTGAGACATTGTTTGAAGAAATTCCAGAAAAACTATCTTTACGTTGCCTATTTCAGTATGATGTTTCATTCCCTACAGTGTGAGGAATCTATCTAGCGAGATGATGATATTCAGGTGCCTGCTGATGTCTGAAATAATGCACATGAGGGTATCTGAGGTCCTCTGCCACCAATAAAGCTAGATATTGCCATATGACTTCTTCATTGTCAGTATAACTTAAATCCCAACAAAACAGCTAAAATTTTTATCAACTGTTTCCTAGACTACACTAATATAGATCTGACAGTCTCTACATTCCTTTGTTCTTCCATTTTTCTAGAAACAAGTCTGTCAAGATGAAGAACTTTAGTAACAAATGACATCATCTCATTGATACTTGAGTTTGCTTTCCTGGAGGAGTGTACCACCTCACACTCCACACTTACAACCCTGCTTGCTTTATAAGTTTTTTGGAAATGACAATGTTTATTGTTAATCAAAAATATTTTATGTCATGTTAAAATTGGACAACCAATAGCATGGAGTCTTCTCAGACTGACTGGATACATGAATCTAAGTCTGACCCTTCACTTACAGCATTGACAGGTAATTACTGAAACCATGCATAGTTAACCTGGTAAATTCCACTGGCCTTTGTAGATCATTTTATTTTAAAATGATATACATACATGTTCATTAAAAAACAACAACACGAAAATTCTCAATAATTTAACAATTTAATGTAAATCTGGCATTTATTATGTTATCACAGTATTTGAACAGCATAAAAATGACATAAAATGTACAGTAATCAGTAAATCAATATATTTAATAATATCTATTGATAACATTCAGGAATGATTTTTGAATACAAGTATTGTAAATGTTATGTTTAATTTTGAACAAAATAAACAGACTGTAAAATACAAGTGCAGCAAAATGTATCAATAAACTTGATTTAAAATTCAATCAACTACCATTTATAACTGTGTATTTACCGTACATGTATTTACAATATAATTGGTTCTTGGTGCCATACAGTAATATTTATGTTATATGAATTACAACAATTTCACTCAATGTCCTTAAATAATCATTAAAATATATAATAGTCAAAGAAACATACATGTATTTACTGAATTCAGAAAAATTCTAACACTGTTCACATTATTCTCCTATTAAACAGAAAGGGAAAAATACATGATATATACACATCAACAAGAGGGCCATGATGGCCCTGAGGTCGCTCACCTGTATATAGCCCCCCCCCCCCTCGGCCCAATTTTTACCCAAGGGCTTTTATTTGAACAGACTTGGTAGATACCCATAAGAAGATGTTTCATGCAAAACATCTAAGTTCTAGCTCATTGGGTTTTTTAAAAGAAGATTTTTAAGTTTTTACTATACACATATAGTTAAAAACAATGACACCCCTCGGGCAGGGCCAGTTTTGACCCCTGGGCTTTTATTTGAACAAACTTTGTAGATATTTACTTAAAGATGTTTCATGCTTAATATCTAAACTCTAGTTATTTGGGTTTTTTCAAAGAAGATTTTCAAGTTTTTGCTATGTATATAAGGAAAATCAATGACCCCCGGGGCGGGGCCAGTTTTGACCCCAGGGCTTTTATTTGAACATACTTGGTAGACACCCATTAGAACATGTCTCATGCTAAATATCTTAGCTCTAGCTCTTTGGGTTCTTTAAAAGAAGATTTTTTAAGTTTTTACTATATGCATATAAGGAAAATCAATGACCCCCTGGGGCGGGGCCAATTTTGACCCCAGGGCTTTTATTTGAACAAACTTGGTAGACATTCACTAGAAGATGTTTCATGCCAAATATCTAAGCTCTAGCTCTTACGGTTCTTTAAAAGAAGATTTTTTAAGTTTTTACTATATGCATATAGGGAAAATCAATGACCCCCCCCCCCCTGGGGCCGGGCCAATTTTGACCCCAGGGCTTTTATTTGAACAAACTTGGTAGACATTCACTAGAAGATGTTTCATGCCAAATATCTTAGCTCTAGCTCTTTGGGTTCTTTAAAAGAAGATTTTTTAAGTTTTTACTATATGCATATAGGGAAAATCAATGACCCCCTGGGGCGGGGCCAATTTGGACCCCAGGGCTTTTATTTGAACAAACTTGGTAGACATTCACTAGAAGATGTTTTATGCCAAATATCTAAGCTCTAGCTCTTACGGTTCTTTAAAAGAAGATTTTTTAAGTTTTTACTATATGCATATAGGGAAAATCAATGACCCCCAGGGGCGGGGCCAATTTTGACCCCAGGGCTTTTATTTGAACAAACTTGGTAGACACTCACTAGAAGATGTTTCATGCCAAATATCTTAGCTCTAGCTCTTTGGGTTCTTTAACAGAAGATTTTTTAAGTTTTTACTATATGCATATAGGGAAAATCAATGACCCCCTGGGGCGGGGCCAATTTTGACCCCAGGGCTTTTATTTGAACAAACTTGGTAGACATTCACTAGAAGAT